ATTGATTGTTCCATATTGCAGAACTGCATCCATATATAAAACAAAGATAAAATGTATTCTTATAGATATATTGTACTCGATGAAATCGATTTTCTATCATAATAAAAGAATGTTTATTATTTGAGATTGAATTTAACATAATTATTTTAAAACTTCAAGAATCTAATAAAATATAAATTTGTTTTTTATATTTTATTTTAACTGAAATGGATAATAAATTCGGTAGCTTTTAATGTTTGATATTGAATAATTTCATAAATAGTTTATTAATAAATGTTAAATTATCGATATAATGTTGGCATTTTGTGCACTAAAAATGTTTAAATAAGACAAAATAAAATATTTTATCCGTAAGAAATGATATATTTATAAATTTTACGAATCTAGACAAAATGAAATTGAGAGAATAACACATATATATAAATAATTTTGTAAGCTTTTAAGATCCTAAAGTTTTTATTTTAATTTGCGTACATTTCAAAAAAGCATCGATTATATAATTATTTAATAATTATATGCGGAATAAAATTCGCCATTTCAACAAATTCTGTATTTATGCAATAGCTGTATGTATACGTATATACGAGGCAAAGTAGGCCTTATTTTTCACATACATACATACACACACAACACACACACATACGGTCCTCCTCGTATATAAATAACTGCGAAAAATGTCATCAGGATAAATCGCATTCTCGATAAACACTCTATAACTAATTTTTTCATATCACAGAGTCATATAATTAATTGTTTGATTGCAATTTTAATTCGGTGTAGCAAGCATGGTCTCTATTATTCTCGATAATTCGGATACGCTTGATAATTCGGTCCTTGTACATACGTATCACATGCAAGAAGAAGGTGTGGCAGGAAAGTTTGCATAATATTATCGGACGATTTGAAATATATCTACCAATATTATTCCGTCAAAGAGATATTAATAAAACTGTATTGCGAAGAACAAATTAGCAGCAGCAAGAGAACTTTGAAGAAATTCATTAGATCATCAAATATTCTTTAGAACGATTTAGTAAAAATTGGATTTGAGCGAACACTATATATCGTTGTCTGTATACTATTATAAGCTCTGCGGATTTTTTTTTGTTTTATATATGCTCTTACACAATAAATATTCAACTATAAGATTGAAACTCTATCAGCCATGCAAAAATGCTCAAAATTGAATTTATAAGAGAAAGAGAGAGAGAGAAAAAGAGAATATATGTATATACATATAATTATAATACTAATTTATAGAGATATGAATTTCTAGCATTAAAAGGCACAAATGTAAATAGCTATTAGATCAAGTATATTTTAACTCGCATCCGCAAATTATTTAAGAAAAACTGCCGCATTCTACATCTTGCTTGCAGCGAATATAAATATGCAACAGCATGTGTTTATGCTTTCAGCATAAAAAATAGAGATTTTAAAATGCATAAATGGAAAATTACTTCCTCTGTTTGAACATCTAAACAGAGATTATAGATGGGAAATATACAGATAGAAGATTATAGATAAAAATTTTTAAACTGCATAGAAAGAAATTTGAATTACGCATCTTTTGCGTAATAACGTCTAATGTCGGAATTTGATATCTGGACCCCTATTCTCAAGTTTGGCACATACGGCTATTTGTTCGCGCGTATATTTTGGAAGAAAAAACAAGCATTCAATATTTAATCCAGATAATATGTCTGAGTGAAATTTTTTATGTGGATAGTAATGGTTAAACCTCGGATGTCTTTACGGTGCCTTTGACAAATCAATGTGCCAGTTAAAACTTCACCTAAAACCAAAAGGAATAGAATAAATATAAGAGAGAAAACGGTGACATATTAGTTGTAAAAATCAATTACACATATAATTTACCTTCAGTTATACTAATAGGCTCGCTTAAGGAAAATACTGTCTGTTTCCAATGTGTCGGCGTAGAATGAGGACCTGTGCTGAAATGTACGGGTTCTCGAGATCGAAAAAAATATCAAAATAGCCGATTATCGCGGTTAACGATCCTGTCTTTTTTACATTCAACGTGAAGGGGGACGAGAAATTAACGCAATCCGTAGTGACTTTGTACAAGTCGAAAGCTTGGATCTCGGCGGTGTTCGTTATCAGATTATCGACATTACAGACCTCTATACTTGGTTCACGCACCACCTCTCTTTTCATGCAGCTCATTTTAAAACCATACACGTTCGACCAATAATCAACCAATTCGATATATCTTTCTGTGTAAAACAATAATAAATAAATATATATATATATATATAAAATAGCTTTAAATAATATTGGATTATACCCTTTAAATTCAAAATCTTTTGCTAAGAAACATATTTAATTATTGCAGGAAAAATTATAACACATACTTGTGTCACCGCTTCCCATAATACTAATTGTGCATCTGTTTGGAAGAATTACTCCATCGGGTGTCAGATAATGTTCCCTAGCATAAATTACTGTATCTAGCATTCCTTCAAATAAAAGAAAATATCCCATCCACTCGGATATTATTGCATCCACTTTATCTACTCCTATATTAATATCCTCTAGACGACCCTTTTTAAAGTAATTATGTCACTGAGATTGTTTTCCCTAAAATCAATCAATTTTATTATATAATATACCCTCTCTCTTTCTCTTTCTACATATCTATATATAAAATAAATTTTTAATAGAAACTATCTGATTTTTCTCTAATTTTTGATAATCTTAAATTTACAAAAAAGAATTTAATCATAAATAGATATACAAAATATAATTTGTACCTTATTATATCCATAGCATGATATATCACATCAGACTGATCGACACTGATAACCTTACGACAACCAGACTTTGCTGCAAACATTGACAGGATACCAGTACCACAACCAACATCCAGCATTACACAATTATGAAATCTGTTAGAATTTGTTAATAGTGCATCGCGATAGCTTTCTGTTCGCACTTTATCCTGAAAAGAAAAAAATATTTCTTCTATTATGTTTCCGTATACAAAATCTATTAATTAGTATTCTATTTTTGCATAAAATTACTTAATATTTCTTTAACTTTAAAGATTAAACTCTTCAATATCTTATGTCTTATAATTTTGCAAATATTTATATTAATCAAGTTAATAATCAATATTATATTATAAATTATAAACTCTCATTAAAGTGATTTGGCTGGTAGAATTGATTAGAAACTTACTGTTAACATTTCATGATGTATAGCAAAGTGACTATATGTACTGAAATAGCCTTCGTCAACATTGGGGTTGTGAGCATTGACCAAAGTACTTTTTCTTTTCCATCGAAATCATCGCCTAGTATTAACTTCCGAGCTTTCTCTTTTACCTCTTCCATTTCCTATAAAAAATAATTTTTCCTAAATTACAATACATATAAAAAATGATTATATATCTGATGATTGTATATCTCTATACCTGCTTGACTAAGAAACATGTTGTCTCACTTTCCTTCAGCTGAGATTTAAGCGATCTTATAGTTCTTTTCATTTCCTCATATTGTGTTTTTGATAAAGTGACACTATCATTAGTTTGGTGTATGTGTGTTGCTTCTTTTTCTTCACTCATATCCTTGATTTTGATGAGATCTTCAACATCTTTATTAGAAAATAATATTTTATAAGTTAGTGTATAATTTAATGTAATATCGTCAACAGAAAAATTGCTTCTTAGATTCTTATACTTGCCGTACATTAACCATGGGTCATCCTTCATAACTGGACATAAATTTGTGTCTTTGTCCCAAGCTTCTACACTCAGTGTACTCAATTTTTCAGGTGTAATCTCCTCATAGCGAATAAAATTGATTAACTTGATATATGAATAAGTATCGTGAATATGTTTCCTTATAAAATCGCAGAAGTTAAACTTATGAAACATTTCAATATGCTGCAGTATAGAAGGAAATCCATCATTTGGACTGACTCCCGTACAAAATAAACACGGAATTCTCTCGTGTTGATCCTCACTAATTTCCTCCCAATCATCTCCGCTGTCACTGTCACTTGCCAAGTCGTCATATCCTTAAAAAAAAAAGATAAAAATTAAGAGAATATTTGCAGACATTTATCAAAAAATAACGCATATCACAGCAATATAAATAACACATCTTTCACACAAAATAGATATATTTTAAGATCGGATTCCCCAAAAAGCAATACATTATTCGTATTTTGCAAATGGATTGCTTCACTTGCCGATTACAAATTAAACAGGCTACAGTTTCTTACTGCTTCTTGATTTGTTACATATAACTTTCATTAATATTTTACCTAATTTCGCCATGATAAACTTCACTTCTCTTGTAATTAGTTAACCGTAAAATTGGTTCGCAACTAGGAAAGGCCTCACGCAAGTCGAGTCGAGAGCACGTGTCAAGTAATGATGCGTGTCAATGACGGAAACAAGCCGTCTCTTCTCTAGTGTAGAGTTCGCGCTATTGTACGCGTTATTACTACAATACCGAGCGAGTCAATGAAAACAACGCAAACGAGTATGAATGGACTCTGATATATGAATTACATTATTTAAACAAAATTATATTAGTATAATTGATTTTTTTTTAATTATATTAATATTCCACCATACTTTCAATTATGGGCATCCGCAGGATTTTTTTCAGGACATGATTAAAATTTTTTTCCTTTTTTAATTTTTTATTTTTTTTATATTAAATATGTAAATAAATTCCAGTGTTTGGTCAAAAAGAAAGCAAATACTTAATTTTTTTATTGATTCCAAAGGAAGCAAATGCTTTCAATTATTAATATTCGACCACACTTTCAGTTATACTCTAAATTAGAATAAAATAGAATTAATTCAAATATATCAAAATTGAAGAAAAAAGAACAATTTATTAGTCTTTTAATTAAAATATGATTTACTTAAAATATTTTCATGTATAAGAAAATTAATGTTATGTACTATAAAAATCGATTTCAGACACTTTATAAAACAATTTTAGAGCTTTTAATATATATACAACATACAAAATATATACATATTAAAAATCCTTTTTTCTCTTACAAATTTTTCAATGATCTATACGTTATAGGCACATAATACATGACGAGAGAACAAATATTGATAAAATATATTTGTTTTATAAGTGATGTAGCTATGAGAGAAATGTAGTTATTGGTGTATAGTTTCGTGATTATCGCTCGACGTTGGACGTTTCACGAAAGTAACATCAGCTTCAGCGTTCCCGAGTTTCCTTTTTACACCCATCTCGCTCGACACAGGCTTGTTAATCTCGCGATACAAATTTTGCGCTACGTGAAAGTCCACGTGTTCGCAAAACTTCGTTATAGGTATCATCTGATCGCACTCGGCGCATCGTTCCAGTGGCACGTCGTTCTCGTTCGAATCGGTTTTGATTAGAAAATTGTACAAAGGACTCTTGCCACTCTTGCTGGCGATTTTGGACTTGGCGGGTCTTCCTCTCTTCGTCTTGGGTAAATCTGTAACCGCCTTAACGCTCTCTTGTTTCTTGCTTCGCGATTCCGTATGTAATCTTGCTTCTTCCTGCAAATCGGCCGGCAACAGTGATAGAATATCGGGATCTATATCATCCAAATTTGGAAATATTTCTCGCAATCGTATCAAGGGATCTTGCGCGGAAGTTCCTTCGTTGTTCTCTGAAGACTCTTTATTGTTGCTTACATAGGTATACATGCGACTCGTGGAAGGTTTTTCGTGAGCGTCCTCTTGTACGCATAAATTAGGATTATAATTGTTCTCGTTATTTGCATCCGTTTCATCCGCGCTAGATGGTTCCCCGTATTCCAATTCTTCGGCATCGATCTTCTCGTCGATATTATCAGAACATTCCTTTTTTTTAGTCTTGTATATGTTCATAAAAAACGAATCTTGAAAATCGTTTTTATTTATCGTCATTTTCGATAGACATTTAGCTTTAGATTCAGCCTTTTCGCGCTCATTGCACACCTGAATCAACTTGACAACTCTTTTTGATATAGGCGAATCCTCGGCGCTCATATTTAACGAATTATTGAGGACTCTCTTATTTGTTTTAATCATCGGTTTGCTAATCGTTGCGACTGATTCTTTGATTATTTGTTTCTCTTCCATTTTTAACAATGAGTCTTCTTTGTTGACATTAGTAAATGACTTTTCTTCTTTTATTCTAAACTAGATGAGGAATTTATCACATCTCTAGGCGAATTTATAATATCCGATTTATCAGAATCTGTCTTGTTACTTTCTTTATCTTTCGATTTAACATTTTTAAAAAATTTTAGAAAGCTTCCACTCTCTTTGGATGGTACGAATTTACTAGCAGAAATACCCATAAACGCCACTGGAGATCGTGTTGACTTGGTGATAACTTCCACGCATTGACTTGCTACTTTTTCTGATTTATACGAGTTCAAAGCGAGCGAACGTGTTTGCGATACGATATTTTTGTCCTGACAGTAATGATAAAAGATAGTGAGTAGCGTCGCGCGTCGCTGATTCTCTTCAAAATCTTGTTCAAGTCGTTCACAAACTTCTGCAGCCAAATCTCCAGCCCAGTGCTTTAACTATATATAAAATATATGTATATTTAAAATATATAAGCATTATCTTTTTCGAATATTTTTCATATATTATTAGAATTTATGTTTAATAATATCCCATACCACTTCTAATGAGGTAATAGCTTGTTTTCCAGGGAAATTTTTAAATGCGGCAATAGACTTTGATAATAATCTGTTAGTGACAGGTTCGTTGTCTACACCTCGGGCAATGTTATATAGCCACAAACTAGAGAATTAGAATTATAAATTATTAGAAATAACAAATTATTAATTATGATTGAATCTTATAAACGTTTATAAATAGTTTGATGTTTTGACTTACCCTGTTTTTTCATCAAATCGTTTTTGTAATTGTTCTAAAGAATATTGCAATAAATCTCCCATAACATTGCAACCAAGAGATTCGACCACAATATCGCCAAATTTTCCACCAAGATTTCGAACTTTTTTTACCGGTAGTGTAGAGTAAAGACTTGGAACAGCTGTTTCAGGCAAAATTGTTTGGCAATTCGGCTTATGTAATCCACACGCTAATTTTGCTAATATCTATTAATGAAATTTCATTTAGTTAATATGTAAGTTACATAAAAATATGGAGAAAATATTTATACCTTATTCTGTGAAATTCCAGCAGAACATCTAAATCCAGTTTCTTGATATATGCTAGCCCTTATTTCTTCTACTATTACACCAGCTACGGCAAGTTTCTGAGCTTTAATATCATGCAGTTCTTTAAAAGTGTCCAGTATCCAAGTCTGTAGCCCTTGAGATCTCTCTTCTAAATACATTTAATATATATTTAAGATATATATATATATTTCAGTTCAGAAAGTCAGGAGAGTATAATTTTCTTTTTCATTACCTTCATCATTTTTATTAATTTCTGAATATCCTACAATATATGTATTTGCAAGAGATGATATTAGTTCCTTTGGAGTAATATTAGTTGCAGTTAATCTTTTATCAACAATATCTGTAATATCAAGATATGCCTCATCGACACTTGCACGTTCTATCACATTACAGTGTTTTTTTATAACTTTAATAACCGAGCTACCAGCTTTCCTATACCTGTATGGATCATACAAATTGTTAACACTTAATACATCAAATGTTAAATTATATGATATAAATAAATAATTAGCATATTCTACTAATAGAAATTAATTCTAATAGCAAACTGCTACCTTGATGTGTCTGCTTTTCCACGAAGACATGGAACGGTAACTAAAACCAAGTCCGGACATTTTTCTTTAGCTTCCTTTCCTCTCATATGCCTGGTTACTCCAAAACTTCGTGCCTGGTAATTAACAGCTATTATGCTGTAACCAATCAAATGTATGAATTTCAATGAACTTATAATAAATGTTTAAACAAAAAGTAATCAGATTAACTCTGGAGCAAATATATTTTCGAAAAATAGATAGAATAGGAAAAAAAGGATTAAGGAGATAAATTTTCTTTGTTAATTGAAGAAGTTTATTTTTATCATAGAATATCAAGAATGAATGAAGTCTATGACTTCACGTAAAATATATATAAGTGATTAAATTATAAATATATTACCCGCCCATTTCCCATTGATTATATTGAACAACAGCGAGCGGTTTTCCTTCGTGTTGTGGTTGCAGCTTCGTCTCGACCTGACAGAAGAAGCAATCCATGTCGACCAGGACGACGATTCTATTAGCTGAATTTGCCATTTTTTACACAATATATTTAAATTTTTTTTATAAATCTAGTACGTCCCAATTAATAACTTATAAAACATTTTTCTAAGGTTAACTGACGCGAGCGATTAACATCGCTCGCTCCATTTTTTTGACAGGTTACAGCTGTGATTTTGGCGGGATCGAATCACATGATTTCTTTTATCCATAGACATTAAAAAACCATAGATGGAACAATTCAATCGGACAATTTTTATGCGCAAACCCTAGTGTCAAAATGGCGCGGCCAATAAAACTTCGTACGCGCGCGCGTGCGCAAAGCGTCACCTGTCAAATTTCTGAACAGTTGATTTACAGTCTGTGTGACGCGAACTGTAGATGTAGATCTCGGATTTCGCTTCATGCGCGTCGCGCGTAAATCAGGAAGCGGCTAAAGACAATACCACGAGAAACCCCTTTTCGCGAGAGAATTTTTGTTGCTCCCGTTTGTTTACGCGATTCGTGCCGTGTCGCGTGCGTAAACGTGCGTGCCGTCCCGCGTGATCTTGTCTCGTCGTGTTAAAACCCGATCCGTCCCGCGCGCGTGGAAAAACGATATGCCCAGCAAAAAGAAAAAGTATAACGCACGCTTTCCAGCGGTAAGCGAATGTGTAACTGCGCGAGACACCTTGAATTTGTTTATGTCGAGGAAAGATCATAATTTGTCGATCTTAAATTTACTCGTCGGCGACGCGACGATAGACGCGAGCAATGATTGATTGTTATTGTTGGGATGAAATTTTTCGATTCCGAACACGTACATATATTCCGCGTTTACGCTTCATGAGTTGACATAATCTAACCTCGCCGTGTCTGTTGTCAGGGTCGTATCAAGAAGATTATGCAGACGGACGAGGAAGTCGGGAAGGTCGCCCAGGCGGTGCCGATCATAATCTATATCCTTTTTTGATATCTTTCCCAAATACAGATTTAGTATAGGCTTAGCATAGACAATTGTATGTGATGCGTATAGTAGTTTGCATCTGCTATGTTGATGTGCTTCCTTAACAGAGTTTACCTAGAACCCTAGAACTATTTGTACACTCGTTATTAACGAAAACCATGCAGATTACGAGCGCCAAAAATGCTAAGACCCTAAGTCCATCTCACATGTGAGTAAACAATTGTGTTTGGGTGTAAAGCAGGTTCATCCAAATTCTAATGACCATTTTGTATGAATGCAATCTTGCATTTGTTCATATCTGTCTTTAGGATTATTCTAGAGTACTTTGACACAATTTTTTTCTCTTTTCTTCTCTGTATCTTGGACAAAATAATGCATAAATATTTGGAATTTATTTCTTTGCAGGAAACAGTGCATCTTATCAGAAAGCCGATTCGACTTTCTGAAGGACTTAGTGAAGTCTCTCCCTGATGTATCAGGACCTGATGATGAGGTGCCTACATCACCAGAAACACCATTGCAAATCAATCTACCAAACACAGCCACTGTGTGTCCTACTATAATTCAGCATCCTGATCCATTAGAGTGAGTTTTAGTGTGTGATGTGGCTGTCAAAATTTCACATATGTAATCATGATTCATATATATCTGCAGATATCAAAAACAACTAGGATTGCCAATTAGCGTTGAGTCAAGTACGAATCATAAGAGTACAAGAGACAATGGATCGACTGCAGTCTCAAGTAATTTAAATCCCGCTAACCAAAGGGCAGTAGGAGCGCATTCACAGGTTCCAGAATTCCAAATATCTGTACCTGTGTCCTTTCAAATTAGTCAACCAAATTTTTATACGGAGGTTAATCCAAGCGCGAGTAATCAGCCGACATCGAATTTTACTCACACTGCCAACATCGACGAGGATTATGACACTTAATAATCTCTTCATGAAATTTAGGAAGTTAAAACTCTTGTTGGATACGCACGATTAACTGAAGACGGGAAAAATGACGCGCCTGTGCATATAACAGAAATATTTTTCATCTCAATTGCTCATTTGTTTAATTAGCATTGACTAATCATTTCAGATTGAAGCAACTCGTTATTTGCTCATGTTTATTTTTGTGCAAGGTTTTAAGTATGAAATATCTGGAATTATTTGAAATTTTAAAAATCTTATTTTTTTATTTATTTTTAACAGATTTATTTAAACAAAATAAAAATTATATATTGTTGCAATTAAAAGTGTTTCTTGTATAATGATAAATATATTATACACTATGTTTTTATTTTGACGACGGTATCTTTTGCCCTATATACACTTATATATAAAATATAAAAATGATCAAATTTAGTTCTATTTACTGAAATAACATTCAGAATTTATCATAATGGTCTACACTATTTTAAAGGCAACTGCAATAATCTGAAGAAAGAAAATGTTATAGAAAAAAATTATCTCTCTGTTTTAAATTACAGTTTAAAATAAAACAAAAAAATTTTTTATAGAAAATTTATCTTGCTCTTTTTGATATAGAAATATATAATTCTTTCATATTTTAAGATATATCGAGACAAGTTCGAATTCAATAAAAAAATACTGTATTTATTTGGAAACAAAAAAAGATGCAACTTGTGTAAATAATAAAGATAATCTTGAACTTTTTACAAAAGTTTTTTTTTTAATCAATTATATTTTGAAACAAAATTTTTAAATCTATAAAATTGTATTTATACTTTATTTATAATTTTGTTTATAAATTTTTAAATATTGTTTACAATTTTTCGGATTAAATATATATATATAGCCCAACATATATATACACATACGCCTTTAAAATTATGCAGATCACAAAGTGATAATAGATATATATATCATGTATGATATATATAGGTTGTATATATAATATATTAATATTAAAATATGGCATCATAAAACTGGGCGATTTTACTGATATCGCATTGTGGTGTGTTCACGTGTAATTGTATCTAATTTTTAAATTATTTCCTTTTCAACGTTATTGTTTATAGGAATTAAATCGTAAAACACATTTTTTTCAAGTAAAATATAAAGAAAAGTAAGAATTCTACACGCACTCTTGCATTTCATTGATATACTGTATAATGTGTATTTAACGCCATATATATTTTATATTTATATACATGTATACTTCATTTTCATTTTATCTCTTTTTTTATCATTTTATGACTTTAATTCACTAGAAGCGGAGAATGTAAAAAGCTCATCTCTTTATAATATAAATGATAATTATCTTTATAGAATTATATAAAAAATAGAAAAAAACAACCGCTTTTCTCAACTTATGTACGTTTAATGACGACGGTATATATTATATATGTATATATGTGTATGTTTACTATGCTCAAAACAATATTGATCTGCGCTTGGAAACGAAAACGATGGAGTGTAGGTAGCTTCATGAAGATGTTAGATGTACATGTGTTTTCAGTTATAAACGCATATGTCAAACACAAAGATACGAGTAATTAGATAAGACCAATCGACTACGTGCTTTATATTTTTCGAGCATCTGTCTTTTTCAATTCACCAACCGTTACACACTCATACTTTGGAATAAAGAGCTTATGCTATTTAAATTTTTCTTTTATTCGAGCGAAACAATTCTATTCAATCTATAGAAACAATTCAACCTTATATACCCGCATCTTACACATTTAACATCTTGCTTCTCGACTCTTTTTATTGTAATTGTTTCAAAAAAGAATATTTAGGTCATGGACCAGCATAGATATTTGTGTCGCAGATATAGTATTTGAAGTATCATAATGTTAAACAAATTCGCTGTTACCAACTAACCTTGAGCTTTACTTCTAATTATTGAAGAATAATAATCAGTAATCAGGTGCAAGAACTCACACAAATATGGAAATTAATTCCGTTATTATAAGAGCGAATTCTGCGAGCAGTAAAAGTTTTATTGATCAATTATCAACAATTAGCTTTAAGAGAACTCGAGTAAAGGTCGAAATTAGTTTTCTTATTAAAAGTGAAAATTTTCTGCGAATAGTATATTTTAAATATTGTATCAGATTTAAGTATTGATCTGTTATTTATGGTTCATATTCGGGTATATATATAGATCTTTGTTAAGATTTTTCTAGAAAAAAATGATACGATCTTTATTCATTCTGCTTATTCCGTCACATTTTGAAAATTTTTTGCATGTACTATTTTACAGATTATTCCATTGCAGTTTGAAATCTCTTACATGTCTAGACTTTTATCATATAAATAACACAATATTATATAATTATACATATATCTTTGTAAAACTTTTAGTTTCTTAAATATAAGAACTTTCATTTTCTTCTTTTTTCTGGAGTTAAAAATTAAGTGATTGAAGAAAAAGGAGAAACGTAGAGGGGCAAATGTGTAAAAATTAATTTTGCATCAGCGTGAATTTTTTTTTGTCATTAATCATCCATTTTTTGCGCTTATCGCGAAAATGTCAAAGTTATGACTGTCACATGTGTCGCATGACATATCGGCACTCTTCCGAAAATTCCGGCCGTTTTAATCACGAATTGGATATAATCAATCACGGGCGTAGAAGTTACCTTGGGGACGAGCGCGACGAACTTTTTGCGAAAATGTGATTTTAACGTGCGAGACCGCCTATTGTGATCGCGCATCGGAAGTTCCGCGCGTTTGTCACGTGCTCGAGGCGCGCTCTTATACCTGTGTCCCGATAGCGGCTTTAGGAAATTCGTGTCATTAATAAAAACAATTGTGAATTCGAATACGTGAGCGACAAAAAATGAATATTGATATAAACCGGAGAAGAAGGGAGAGATTTACGGAAACAGCTCGTCGCTGTGGAAGTAGATATATCCGAAACTTCAGTCTCGCTCCACGGTTCAAACATAGAATTCTCTTTTCAAGAAGAAGACCACTTTTATAGGGTAAATAAAAGTGCAGCAGAGATTTCTCTCAGACAGTTTAAAAAAAAATATTCGCACTTTTTTACGAGGAGCGCTTTATATTGAATTAAACAGCAAGTCTTGTATTATTGTAAAAATTACTTATATTATTTGTGTTTTTATTATATATATGACAATATATATATGTATTTGTGTGATCGATTGTGTTTAAAATTGTTCGGTGATTGAGGTTTAATTTTTGTGTCACATATTTTATATATTTCTCTTTTCTTCAAAAAATATATGTAATATACATATATTAATTTATATAACGTGTGTGTAAATTTATTTGCTTACTTCTTGGAATTATGACGGTATATTGATTTCGAAATTACGCGATTGTAAAAGCAGTTATATAATTAATACAATAATAGTTAAATATCCTATTTCATCAATAAATTATTGACAAAATAATACTCTTTATATAATCAAAATTAAGTATTTCAGAATATAAATTTCGTTTCTCTTTTGAAAAACAATATATGTAATATACATGTACATATTTATATACATATATAAATCTTTTATATCATCTCTTGATTCTCCTCATAGATCAATTCTAGTTGATTAATGCGCTCTCGTGTAAAATTGAAATTTTAAATTAATAAGTTACATAATATACTAATTCACGATATTTAAAAGAATAGGTTTCTCCGTTTGAACGCATTCTGTTTACATATCGAAACGCGACGTCGTATCGAGCTAAGCAACGATACATTTATATTACAAAAAGTGCAAATTATATATAAAAATAACCATCGTTAGACAGTCAAGAGGAAATAATGTCTGCATACTGGTGTTTCGTCTCGCTGCTATATTACGGATTTATCGTTCAAACAAAGGGTCTGATACGCACGCACCAAATATTCCCGCCGCACACGGATTCCAATTTATTGGTTGTAAGTAAAATTTCGGAAAATAATACACTTTCTTTTTTTTACATTGAAAGAACAGTGTAATGTATATTTTATAAATTATAAGAAAACTTTTTAAATTTCATAATTGTATAATTTTTATATTTTTTATTATAACTTATTTTTTTTATTTTATTATTAATTATATTATATATATATATATATATATATATATATATATATTTTGTTATGAATTATAATATAAATTATATTTTATAAATTATAAGAAAATTGATTTCTCTTTGAGCTAAAAATTGATGATAAAATGATAAATTTAACTTGTCAATAGATTACATTTTAGTATTTCGCTGTATTTTATAGGAAAACTTCATAAAAAAGAGCGGCTACCCCTTTGAGCTTCATCATGTAAAAACTAGGGACGGATACATATTAGCTGTGCATCGGATACCATCTAATCAAGCACTATGTAATAATTCGACTAATACTAAAAATCGACGAGTGGTCTTAATTATGCACGGATTGCTGGGGTGTTCGATGGATTGGGTAATAACGGGTCAAAATCGATCACTCGGTATTAAAAATCAATCAATCTTTTAACTTTTTTTATCACAAATGTGTTGATTAAAAATATTATTCTTGTTATCGTTAGCTTATCTTTTATCCGACAATGGCTATGACGTGTGGCTCGGCAACTCCCGGGGGACAACAAATTCGAAAAACCACACGAGGCTCTCCTTGGAAAGTCCTGAATTTTGGGATTTCAGGTATCGAAGCGCAAGTTTCTCACTGTTTCGCAATAAACTTGACGTTAAAATTTAATATTCCTTTTTTTATTTATGCAGTGTCAATTGTCAAGAATACAAATAATATATTTGGTAAATATTTTAAGTTTTTTAAATTATATTCATGAATATAACATTCTGTTTAGCTGGCACGAGATGGGTATTTACGATTTACCCGCTATGATAGATTACATATTGCAAAAAACCGGACAAAAACAACTGTTTTACATAGGCTTTTCTCAAGGAACGACACAATTTTGGGTTCTAATGTCTCTCAGGCCGGAATATAATAGAAAGATCAAACTCATGTCTGCTCTAGCCCCTGTGGCTTATACAGGACATATTGGTGGTCTATTGAGACCTTTAAGTTTCTTCGCAAATTTTTTCAGGGTAAGAATTAAATAGTTCTAACTCTTTCAAGATATTCTTAAAAACTTGAGAACTTAAAAAAACAAATAATTAATAAAAGTCATTTTTTTCAAATTATTATATATAATTGTTTCACATATCTGGATAATTATTATTTATATCACTTTCTACATAAAAGCGAAATTATAATTATTATATTCTTATGAAATATCTATACAATATATTCATATTTATGAATACACTAAATAATAAATAAATTCAATTACTTTTTTCGTTATGAAAAAAGAAAATATGATAAAATATTTTCTGTAGTGATCTCTTTATTAAAAAGTAGTGTAAATTGTGTAAACTATATTTTATATTCTGTGCTTATTATTCGTTTAATTTAACAGAAATTTTATAAATACACCGGATTCTTTGAATTGTTGCCAAATTCGAACCTGGAGAAAATGATAACATATCGTTTTTGTCGGGAAGGCCTTATCACTGAGCCCATTTGCGCGTTTGTTATAGCCTCGATAGGAGGTTTCAGTCGCGGCGAAGTGGATCATGTAAGCTATCATCCTAGTTAAACATGATTCTGACTCGCGATTTTACGAAAGTAACGTTTTTAAATACTTTCAGGCGCATCTAGCCGAATATCTGCAATTCGCGCCGGCAGGTTGTTCGTTAAAGCAATTAGTTCATTACTCGATGGGTATTCAAAATCCAGGTATCAATTTTGGAGCTCGATTACAAATTCTTATAAAATTAAAAATTCTCTGCGTTTCATATTGGAACAATTTGTTATCTTAAAAAAAATAATTTCCTCGCAGGACATTTTCGCCCTTACGATTACGGTTTGATAAGGAATATCCTAGTATACAGACAATTCGTACCACCAGAATATCCTATGCAAAGGATTACAGCCCCGGTGATTTTGTACAACGGCCTGAGCGACGTTTTAGCTCATCCGAATGTAATTAAACGCAAATTATTAATAGACAAATTATTTGCTAGGAGACATCTCATACAGATAATATATCTCCAAGACTCGATATCAGATTTGATTGTTCATTTTAGGACGTTGATATATTGCAACAAAAATTGCCGAATTTGTTGGAGAAACATACGGTCACGCTAAAACCATTGGGTCATTTCGATTTCGTATACGGATTGAATGTACCAGAACTCGTTTATGATTATCTGATTGATAAGATGAATTCAATGACATAAAGGTAAGAAAACGAAAAACAAACTGAATTTATAGTGATTTCTATCGACTATTGTATATATATATATATATATATATATATATATATATATATATATATATCGATTTATAGGTGCTTCATCATCGATTCAGCCATCTAATTCAATGATCTCAATCTACAATCGAACAACGAAGCTAAGACTATAGATGATAGAATTTTGTCACGATTTATATTTTTTATATCGTAAATCACTAAACAAGGGATGCGAAAAAAGAAAACGAAGAGGAAAGGATATTTAATTATGCGACTAATAATAAGGATCTTCGCTGTTTCCGTTTAATACGCAAAAACAAGCAAGATCCGTACTTTCAGATCTACCTCACTGATCGCATAATAATCTTTAATGGAATTACTTTAAAGAAAATGCGGGTACTTTGATTGAGCACGCATCGCCAATTTTATTTTGTCTTCCGCTGCCATATAAATCTTAATGTATGCATTCGTTCAAATATTATTAGTATATAATATTTGAACGAGAGATGTTTCTTTCTTTTTGGAAAAGAAAGAGATACATATATATCATATATATATATATATATATATATATATATCAAGAGTAAGCAAATTTAATAACACATACCCTGAAGTATTGCTATTTATTACGTGTCCATATTTATTTATAATACACTATTTGTGAGAGTAGATTTAATGTGATATATTCAAAAACTGTAACTGTACCACAATAGTGTGGATGTGTGTCGACGAACTGAATCAGTGAGACGCTGAAGCCGAGCGGAAGCCAGTGTGGAAGATGCTGAAACAAAATCAGATTTCTAGGATTCGTGTCAACGTTATCCAATTCTAGAAAATATCGAGCAAGTCACTTCATGTTTGCAATAATACTCTTGAGAGTTTGTGTTAAAAAATGTTTTTCGTTTCTTTTTATCAGAATTTGATTAATTTCTTATTTTAATCGGAATACAAAATCTCATGTAATAAAGTGTTTATTGAGAATTCAATATATTTATATAAAATAATTATTTTAATAACTATATATAATTATATATAATAATTATTTTAATAACAAGTTCATTCGCGAAATATCCTTCCAGATTCTATTAACATTTAAATTTTAATGAATTTTATTTATTTAACGATACGTTTTTAATGAATTATAAGAATCTTTTATTTCTGGGTATCCAAAAGAAGAATGGTTAAAATTTTTTATTCCATTAGATTCACTTTAATTTATTAGATTCTCGCACGATATAAATAATTAGACTCATTGAAAGAACAAATAATCGTTTAATAATATTCTGTACAAAGGGCATATTCTTTTCGAATTTTCCTGCAAATAGGATTATGCATTCGAGAATTATTTTTTATATTTATTTTAAGACTTTTTATTTATTTAATGAATTCTTGGGGAAATGGCCATTCAGTAATTCATTTATTAGCAAAAATGTGATAATAGTTTAATATATTGTTTTTCTCTCATATATTACATTGTTACGAAATATATTGCATAAATTTATCATACATTTTAATTATGTTTATGTCTAAATGTAACTAATGTCCAGAAAAGTACATTTGACTAGTTAACGTTTTATGTCAAAAAATACATTAATAAAGAAACTCTTGGAACTAAAGGAAGAGATTCGAATCTTAATGATTTGATGTTAAAAAAAGAGTACAAAATATACTAGTATATCTAGCAATTAGTGATAAAATGTTTTTTTTGTAAATGTCATATTACATCAATAAAATATCTATTTGAAACTCTTTATGTTTAATGCTAATCATTATATTTAGCGTTAATTATTTTATTGCTTTAGTTTGTTTCAACCTGTCATTTTAAAAATATTCAATATCTACGCAAATTTAATGTGTCAATTTTTTGAATGCATTTTGATTAATCTCTTCTCCAATCGCTTTATGTGTTTATGTGTATGTATCATATGTATTTCTTACGATTAAATCTAATAATAAATCCATTATAATACAATTATATATGTAAAAGTATCTAAAATTTAATCAAATAGTATATTTAATGTTTATTTTAATCGTCGCCACCACTAGATCTCCAAAAATTGAGCAAATTTCACTGTTCTCTCTTTTCGTAATAATATATTATCATTTACTTTGTAATTATCCTAACAATATAAAAAACTTTTAATCATTTTAACATTTTTACAGGGAAAATAGAAACAAAACTCAACCCTTAATAATCTAATTGTAAAGTATCGTCTAATTGCAAAGAAAATAATAAATATCCATGTAGCAAGTAGTAAATAAAAAGAAAAAATTCCTTTCCATGCAAAAAGTACCATAGATTGCACTTAAGATTGCGTGCTGCCACATCATTAATCAATTATAAAGTATAATAATAAAAATCGCATCGGCATTATAACACATAGAAATTTATGAGAAATATCACAAACACTCCAATGAAATAATAGAGAGAGAAAGAGTGCGCGATGATGCAGCGACGAAATGAAAAGAAGGAAAGAAAGAGAAAGAGAGATAGAGAATTTCCGAGAGAAATTTTCAGAATTTTTTAGTCTACATATTAATAACATGAAAGTGACAACATCTTATTTGAAAAAACCTAATATAGTACACTTGGTTTTCGTATTATTCTCCGTTAAAGTTATAAATAGAATGAACATTTATACAACCTTGGGCTTGGGAGAGCAGATTTCAGGCTCAATTCCTGTATCGATGTGACGACTTCTTACCATCGCGATGGCTCGACTTGGATCGCGACTTTCTACTTCGATCCCGCGATCTGGACCGGCTGCCCCGTCGTCGGCTTCTCCTGGAAATATACGATCTCGATCTTCGGGCTCGATCCCTCGAGCGGCTACGCGATCTCTCCCTACGATCGCCGCGCGACCTCGAGCGCGAGCCTCTTCGTTTCGTCGTGGTCACGCGAGACGATTTGCTGCGCGATCGACTGTTCCTCCGCCTGTCTCTGGAACGCGAGCGGGACTTTCTCTTACGCGATCGCGACCGCGACGAACGCCACTTCCTACTACGATTGTCGACGGATGGCGACCTGGAGTGGCCTCGACAGCTGCGCGAGCGCGATCTCACGCGTTTCCGGTCGTCGCGGGATCGCGTACGATGCTTCTTGCTGGATCTACGATCGCTAGAAGAACGCGAGGATCGCGAACGATAGTTCTTGCGGGACGACTTGGCCGACCTTGAGCGGGAACGTCGCTTTCGTTCGGACGAGCGGGACGACCTGACGGATCGTCTGCCACTTCGCGACTTGCTCCTGCTCTTGGACTTTCGACGTCGCTGATGATAACCGCGTTGCTGCTGTTGCTGCTCGCGTTGCTGCGGCTGCGACTGCTTGCTAGTGCGCGCTTTATCGTGTTTCTTGGCGTGTTTCTCGCGGCTCGACTCGGACAAGCTGCTCGAGGATTCACTGCTGCTCGACTCGGAGTCAGCCGATCCCGAAACAGTGCTGCTCGCTTTCGTCGCTTTCGTCGCCTGCTGGTGATCGTCGGCCGTCGACGGGGCCTTCTGCGGCGCCGCCGTTTGTGGACTTTGCCCGCCGCTCGATAAAGTTTCGGACGCTTCTCTTTGATTATTTACCGTTTCTTTTTCATCAACTAAAGTATGACGTCAGGGGGTTACACTTAATTTGCTCACGGCCACATACGCTTGTGTTGTTATCTGTCGAAACATACCTGTATCCCGGCAGCTAGTATTACCGGTATGATTTTCTTGTTGTCTATTTTGTTGCTCGTCGTAACTACGTTGTTCCTCCCTCTCCTCCTCCTCGGCCAGACGCGTCTCGATCTCCTCCTCGATCTTCCGAAATGCCTGCTGTCGACGTTTCAACGTTTCCTACGGAGATCGGGAATTAATATTTTAGAATAAAACTTTTTTTTTTTTTTTGCGAAAAAGAGATCAAGTGTCTGCTCACCTTCAGATCATCGTCGCTGTCGTCGTCATGAACTTGTGCGTGTTCGCTCTGCTCTTCCTCGGACTCGCTGTTACTGTCGCCGTAGATGCCCAGACCTACGGCAGATGGAAGTCGAAGTTACATCCGTTCAGAGTGCGCGACATTTTCAAAATTGGAATGGGTGTTAAGACTCCTGACTCCACGCCTACCATGTTAGAATTGTGACGTCAGAGGCGAGAAAACGCATATTAAAAATTCTTAGATGCCATTTCGAAATATTTTTCATCTAAACATGGCATCGAAGAACTTTCAGCGTATACTTTCTCACCTCTGACGTCACAATCTGACATAGCTACGGCGAGGACTCAGGACCCTTAAAAAAAGAAAAAATATATATACAAAATTCGCCGTTACTTTCATCAAGGAATATCCTGAGAAAGAGCGAAAGAGAGAAAGAAAGAGAGAGAGAGAGACTTCTCTCTCTCAATTGCAGCAATAAATCTCTACGAGCGAACGGCCGAATTAACATCAAATGCATTCACGCATTGACCCGTGTCTTTTTTGTTCTTTCTTTTTTTTCTCTCTTAACGAGTTACTTGCTTACTAGTTACTCGTTTACTAGGCCGTTCCCTAAGGATATCGCCGTGTGTTATATCAAGTGTTGAAGCTTACTCACCGAGCTTGCGAGTGATCTGAGCAAGAGGGGCCGTGTTGTTGAGGGATGCGACGGGGGTCTCTCCTGCGGGGACTTACAATACACACGCATTTAGTAACCAATCGCTAAAAAAGTGCCATCGCACGGATAAATGACCCCCGATAATAATGAATGGCTCTTTACTGGCTCATTCTCGTGACAAGATGGGCCGAACCATTCCTTCGTCCCTTCGCTTCCTTACGTGTAAACCTTATAAGAAATCTTTACAGCATTATTTCACTTACAAAAATTGAACTACATAATACTTTGAGAAAATTCATCGATATCGCGATTTGGTATACTGATTATACGTCGGAAAATATGAGATAAAATCCGCTTGAAATAACGAACAAGTTAGATACTTGAAAAAAACTTGGATCGTAACTAAGTGTATAAAAGCTAAGCGATCAAACGTGCCCATGACGTAAAAATGGGTATGAAAGGCGTACATAAGTTTCTTATTATTTCATCTAATATTACTAATTGTAATATCAAAGTGCTTTTGTTAAAACAAATTCCGATTATGTAAACATTTTGTTTATACATATATATATGTATATATATATATATATGTGTATATATATATATATATATATATATATATATATATATATATATTACAGTAAATAAATATATGATACTAGAATCTTTATCTCCTAAGGAGATGTGTCGCGCGAGATGATTGTCGGGCATAAAAATGCCGGCGCGTAAAAAGGAGAAGCCTTTAAAATCTGAAAATCGGCACGTAATGCGAAACGATTACGTGATTGAAGACGTGAGAAAATGAGTGAGATATGTACGTGTTTATGACTTATGCTAAACGCAAATTCCTGAAAACACAAAAATAAAATAACAGGATGTCCTGAAATTGCCGAATAATTAAGTCTGCGGATTAAGGAATCTCTGTTTAATACTCTCTTTCAACTTGATATTACACAATCGCACAGCTTCCTCGCAGCGTGGCGCGGCCAGTAGGCTCACTGAATCTGCGAATTCTGTGCTCCAACGAGCAAAAGCACGGAAATTCAATTGGTTAGTTCTATCGTGTGTATCTGGGGTACCTTTGGCACGTGCGCGGCTCCAAACCTCTCTGCATACCGTAGCAATCTCTTCGTTCGTTACCTCCAGAAGTATTTCCGTCAGCGCTCGTCTTACTTTCAACATCTGTGAAAAAAGAAAAAACAAATTATTTCACGTGTTGCGATGCCGTACAAGATTAATTACATTATAAATTGAGAATATTTGCTGAAAATTAACTTGTATTTACTCTTCTGGAAGGGCAAGATTTTTTCCAGGAGGAGAGCATGTGTGCAATATAAATTTAAATTTAATTTAAATTTAATTTTTTTATGTTAAATATGTAAATAAATTCGTGTTTCAAATTGAAAAGATCAAATGCTTAATTTTTTTACTGATACCAAGAGGGAGCGGAAAACGCAGACGTATAATGTCTTCTGCTTACCATTTCCTGAAAGATCTCATCAGGAGATCGCTTTTGTGCGACTGTACAGAGAGACGGAGGTGTGCTGGTCGTGGCGGTCGGACTCTCGTCAGCGTCCGCGTGAGATTCTGGTGAATCGGCGTCTCTGAATCGCGACTTCCGTGGCCGAACAACGATATCCGGGGTGCGATCATAGCTCTTGTCTACGGATTGTTGTCCACGCGTATTGCTACTCGTTATGTCGAAGTCCTGTTCAGTCTCCTTTTCCGAGTCCGAATCCTGAAAATAATGACGATGATATATAATAACTTTTTCATAGTCATACAAATCTTTGTCGAGATCGACGTTTAGAAAATTATGAAACACAAACGGGAGAAATGGCTCTAATTTAAGAGTCAGGCAGGCGAGAAAGAAAGCACAAATTCTGACTCTTAATTAGCCCGTTTTCTCATTTGGACTTTGAATATACTTCAACTTTGTTTTTGGTAAATATTTCGTAAATATGTAAAGTTTTAGATAGAGAAACGGCATATATATCGCGATTTTTGATCGGTGGTTCTTCCTCTACCTGATTTATTGTCATATAGTGACCATAGACAGACTTCTAACTGTACCAGTTACACTACTAATTTCGCCATGTAAGTCTGTAGAAGACACGCTGCTACTCGGTATTTGCAAACAGTACTTGATTAATGATTATCATAATTTTCAATTGTCTGACAGTTGAAAATGATAATCATTAATTAAAAAAATATTTGTATATATATAAACAACACGCACGGAAATTACTATGTTAATTTTGTTAACTTCAGCTGATAATCTATTTGTATTACAATTTGTTTTATCCCATACAAACTATGAACTGAAGCTGAAAAAATCCTATATGGTAATTCTGAAAATGATGGTGATGATGCCGTTCTTTTATTTTTCTAAAACTCTAGTGTAACATGATCAAGATCTTACAAATTTGCTCTTGCTAGGATTGAGCACTGCACGCGCTTCATCCTCTGCTTGCTTGCGAGCCTCCAATTCTTGCTTCCTCAAGATCTCTAATCGTTCTCTCTCCACAGCCTTCTGTTTCTCTTTTTCCATTTTTTCCAATCCTTCACGAATCCATGCTGGTAACTGTCTTCGTTTTGCGGCGTCTATGCAGAATAGATCAACAGCAAGTTATAGCAGATGAATTATTATATAATTCATGACTATACTCGCCGAACTCGTAAACAACTGTAACAAGAAAGAATTATCGTTATTAATTTTACCTATAGTCATAGTAGTATCTTCTTCCGGTGTTTTTTCTCTATCATCTCGGCATCGGACTGGATCCATTACCCTCATATGTGCTCTGTTCGTATGTCTCATTCCTTTCATGAATGGAGGTGGTTGTGATGATATTGCATTAGGTGGTTCTCCAGACCAATAATTAGTAACCTGATGATACAATGGTCATTTACATTGGAAATAATAGTAGAGTTCTTGAAAATATTAAAAATAACAATTCATATTTAAAACAATAAATTATGTATATATTAGGTTGGCCAATAAATTCGTGCGGTTTTTGACAATAGATGGCTTTAATGTTCTGAAAAGCAACTATATTCAATTCAAATCGTGAAAGCGCGCATTTCGTTCGATAAGTAATATTTCAACATGTATTTAAAAAAATACGTAAAGATTAGTTGTATTTTGTGTTTAACATAATTCGAAAGATGGATAACGAAACGAGCATTTTCGCCATATTATGTTGTTTTATTTTAACAAAAGCAAAAACGCGGCACAAACATCTAAAAACATATGTGTGGTATATGGTAAGGATGTTGTGAAAGAACGTGTGTGCCAGAAATCATTTGCAAAATTTCGTTCAGGAAATTTTTCTATCCAAGACGCACCACGCTCGGACCGGCTAGTTGAGATTAATCAAGTCAAAATAAAGGCGTTAATAAACGTTTCATGATGCGAGAGATTGCAGATGTTCTCCAAATATCAAAAACAAGCGTGGCAAACCATCTACATCAACTTGACTACATTAGCCGGCTCTAAAACCGCACGAACTTATTGGCCAACTTAATATAATCTAACGTGACAATTGTATATAGTACCTAACATTTATCTAAATTATGTCGTAAATAATATATTATTATTAATTATAAACTTTCTTTTTTAGATTTTACCTGATTGTACGATTGTGCTGGTGCTACTGAATTGTACGAATACAATGATGGTGCAGCAGGAGGAGGTGTATTAAAATCAGTAGTGGTAGATATTGTTGGCGCAGGTGGTATAACTGGCACAGTTGGAAGTCCAATTGGTTTACCATCAGGACCTATAGTAACACCAGGTGGTGGTACGCCGCTCCATTCCCAGCTTCCTGTTCCAGATGCTGAAGTATTCCAGTGACCCCACTGGTTCCATTGAGTCCAAGCTTCTATTAACAAGCCACAATGTCGCATGAGAGAAAATATCTTATGCTGTTGACTTTGGTAATAATCTTTGATTGTCTATTTGAAAATCTGTTGTCTAATATAAAATCTTTAAAATCCTGTTTTTTCTCTCTTACCAGATCCACTGATGGTTGGTGCAGGAGGTACAGGAGGCATCTCATCATCCTTGGTGTCCATATCCATTGGTGCCTCACCACTACCATCGTTTATGGAATATATGGGATTTATATTTGGTGGTGGTGGTGCCGGTGGTACAGTTGTCTCCTTCATTTTTATCCATTGTTGCGCCAGAGCTGCCCAATCCACTGGTTCCGGACAAACAATAACATCATCAAAAATTCATACATTACTGACAGGTGTGAAGATTTATAGAAAAAGTACCTTGTTCATTACTCATGTTTTGATAAGCTGAAGGATTGAGCGCCCATTGGGTTGGATAATCTTTCTCCTCAAACATATCTCCGCTCATCTTCATCTATGTAGGAAGTCACAGCACAGGAAGCAAAATCCTAGATCTTGAAACTCAGCAATAGCACATACGGTGTACTCTTGCCGGATTGTTATAATGTTCCCTCTATTATACAGTATAGAGAATACATTCTAATTCTATTGTTGTGGAATTAGAACTATGGTTAATGGAAGCAAACATCTTCTCGCGTACTCTTATTACTCTCGCGACATCATGGTATTTCAAATACGAATAAATTTACCGTAGTGTGCTACGTAGTGCGAGCGAAATTTTATGAGTACTGCTTATATGATCTTCTTTGACCGGCAATACCGAATCCCCTAAAAAGGAGTCATATATCTCGGCTATATATTACATTTTGTTACCGGAATATATTTCTGCGAGAGCCAAGCAAAATTTTATCAAGTTACCATTTTCTCTACCGCATCGGCTAACAATCTCCGGACTTTATGAGCTGATTCCTGTCACAATGTTGGTGTTAACGAATGAAGAAAGCACACGCGCCCAAAACTCTTGATCCTCCATTTTCTTTATATCAAGCTTGGTTTACAAAATTATTTATCGAGCGAATTTCGATGCGGTATTTATCGACCAATCACAGACAAAGAAATTTTCGCACTTCTCGTTCCTGATTGGTCGATCAATGTGACGTCACTTTCTTGAAAAATAATTGTTCTATATATATATATATATATATATATATATATATAATTATTATTATTATTATATTAATTAAATAATAGATTTTAAGAATAAAATATTATTAATGAGAATATTAAAGCAAAACAATAAGAGAACAAACAAATATGCTCTAATAAATTTTGATCACTGACTGATTGCTGCACGCTGAAAAGGCACCTGAAGAAGAGGATATAGATTGAATTGACCTATTGATCGAGGCCGATGTTTTTCGAAATGATGATCAAAATTCGCCGACTGGCCGCATTTTTGAACGCACTTGACATTTTCGTTCACCTGCGCTAATCTGCTATTCTTGGGCCATCTTACATACTTTGGTCTGCGCAAAGTGTTTCGCGAGCAGTATGTGAGTAATAATTTCCTTCCGCGATACATGTATCCGCGGTTGAAATACTAATCCGTGATATTATCCGATTACGTAACGCGGGCCACCTCTGCGCGTATTTTCTTTTTTTTTTTTAATTTCACGCGCAGTTTCCGTCTTCCGTCCTCGACTATCTTTATTATCAGTTAGGTAATAACTTTCCCGTTCGCATACAATCATATGTAATTTCGGAGCTATAAGGTATTCCTGAAATATATTGACGTTTCTTGTCAAAAATTCGTTTTTTGTTAGCTCAATTTCGGAGCAATTATCTCAGAGGACGAGTGCTTACGCTCTAATTGACAAATTAATTATATTTACTTAATTTTATAATAAATGACCGCTAGTAAAATTAGATATACATATCTCGGCAAGATATTAATGTACGAGATAAAGGGAGACGAATTATATGTGTAGGATTATCACTATTTGTAGAGAAAAATATTCCTTTTTAATATAAAACTTGGCCTAAATATTGCAATACTTTTTACAGTAAACAATGGCAGGCAGATTGTTTGCGAGTCGCTTGCGACCTGTCATCCAAGTACAAAGATGCGGATTGATGACACTGGATAGGGTTGGTAACAGGGATGTGGTTGGCTTTGGATACAACGGTGAACCTACTTACTTGGACCGAGTAGATTTCCCTTGTCCAGCGATACGTTGGAAGGAAAATACCCCTGACGTCATGGTAAGAAAAAAAGATGACAGTGAAAAGATGCTTTATAAATGGCATTTGGTGAATTTCCAATTGTCAAATTGCTATCTATTTTTTCTCTTTGTTGCTCAGGCATTGAAAGAGAAAGAGAAGGGAGACTGGAAGAAGCTGTCTATCGAGGAGAAGAAAGCTCTGTACCGGGCTAGTTTCCGTCAAACGTTCAGTGAAATAGATGCACCAACAGGAGAGTGGAAAGGCATCATTGGATTGAGCTGCATATTTCTAAGCGCTGGTGTATGGCTATACCTATACTTCAAAGTATTTGGTATGTGTCTTTTTTGATGCATTTTAATTTTCACTTTGAGAATCTTTGATTTAACGCAATACCATTTCTTCGTCTTTTAGCTTATCCAGAACTGCCAGAAACATTCTCATTAGAACGTCGACTGGCACAATTAGATCGTATGAAGAAACTTGACATGAATCCGATCGACGGACTCTGTGCTCGAAAGTAAATTAAATTATCCTCTATTCTTGAATAATTTAGTCACTCGCTATGTACAGTAATTTTTTCCCTCGACGCTTGTATATATATGTACAAGTGGCAAAATTTTAATAAATGCCATGTGGTTACATCAGAACATCATTGATATTAAAGTACATTTATGGTATAATATATCCAGTATATTAAGTGTGTAAATATAAATTAGTATATTAAAAATTGTATTTTTAAGTTATTGAAATACTTGATTGAAGAAAAAGGTAAGTAAGATTTATTTCATTTCTATACACACATTTCTCACACATTTTTCGCTTCGGATAAAAGGTACAAACTTACGAATAACAATAATTATAAGTACAAGTCGCTGTCGGATTAATTATGTTTAAATCGATCGCATAATCGCTATCTCACTTTCCTTTCTCCTCACGCAAGTTGATAGAAAAAAGAAAAAAAAACGAAATGACAGACACTATTGCCTGTCCTTTCGAAAATTCATAATTATACAGTTACGAACTGTCAGAGTGTAATGCATTTAATTAAATATATTTTTTTGTTTTTTTACAATCTCAATGTAACGGTTGTGAGACGACAGTACAATTCTACAAAGATAAAGCTGAATTACTGATCGCGTTACATCGTTACATTATTGCTTATTTAAAAATATATATTTACATGAATATAAATACACGACTATCAAAATTTTTGGAAAATACGAAGATATACTATAGAGATTCATATTGCTATTGAGAAGTTTATAAACTATCTAACGATTTTTAAACAATATATAACTCTATGAGGTAAAATCGCTTTCCTGAAAAATATACAAATAACAAGAAATAATTAAGATCAGACGTCGGCATCATTCATATTTATTAAACTTTTTTTTTCTTTTTCATTTTCTTCTTTTTTTTGACTTTTTTTTTACAGAAATTCCAATAATCGCTCGGGAAAATTCGATAAATATGAGTGATTACGAAGTGATTTCGTTATCAAACTTTCAATGATTACGAAATTCTAATATTTATAAAAAACACGTAACTTGCTGAGGATCACTAAGCGATAATAATAATAGTTTACATAGTTTTAAAAATGTAGTATGGCTATATAATGCTTTACACAGTAACATTTAAATTATATATTTATATATATTTATATATATCTTTAAGCAATTGACAATTTAATTATTAAATTCAATCACAGCATACAATATTATTTACGAAAGAGCTCTTTAAGTTAAACAATGTACACGAAAAAAATACTGGATATAATATACATAATTTAAAAAAGATTTGAAAGTTAAATATCCTCAATTCACGTGACTAAATTAAAGAATTTAGGGGTAATCTTTGCATCGCACGTTAAAAATCGTTGAACATACAAAAATGCAGCTGCACCAGAAAAATTTTACTGACATTATTCAAGAGATTTGTTGCAGTAAACGTTCTATTATCTGTCCTCTTAGTTATTGCGTCAACGGAATGTAATATTCAATAATGAACTATGTCTACCATGATCGACGAACGTAATATACGGAGCTTTTAAGTAATGTCAAGGCCTTTTTGCGTATTGTCATATACATAAGTTTCATGAAAAAATGCAATGTAAGATTCATAAATATCAGATTCATCGTTTTTCCCTTTGTATAATACAAACGTGTTTTAATTATCTGATATAAAAATAATACGTCATTATTGAGGAGATATTAAGAATTATGAACTAACATTAAAAAATTAATATTTCTGTACAAAATAGATAAAGCAAATTCATAGGAAAAAAAATTGTTGCTACGAAATAGACTGCAAAGATTCGAAGCGTTGTCATCACTTTGTATGTGTATGTGTGTGTTTCTGTCTCGAGATAATAAGCTATTTTTTTAAAAATATTTTTATTCAAATTTTTTTTTCTTTTTATATCATCGTACTCTATTAGCGCATGTGTGTACTCCCTCCCCCCCATAAATCTATAATTTTATTAAAATCTGAAAAATATACCAAAATTTTCACAACGATATATAGTTAGTTTGAAAAAAAAAAAAAAAAAAAACAAAAACAAAAAAACAATAATACATTCTCAAATAGATATGGTCTCATCCACGAATTTTTATAGTAAAATCACTTGTAACAAACATTATATTTTAGATATTTATAAGTTAAAAAAAGATTATATATTATATATTTATAATAGGTAACTCTCTTAGACTTACTTCTCTATCTCTTTGATGATGCATATATTACAATATGTACATTAGATAAGTCCCAATATCACCACAAATTCGCTGTCACCCTCTTGTTATAAGAATATAGTTTCATATAGAAAACTAAGTTTTTGTTGTTACTATCAGAGTGTTTTATAGTTTTGTCTATTAAAGAGTTCCCGAGAGAAAAACGTACAACTCATATCCGTGTGTATATGTATGTGTGTATATCTCCTCATTCGTACTATATAAATGTGTTATGATATATTATTCATCATGGCTGAACACACAATTGCTATTTTACGATGGTAATAATAATTTTCTGATTAGAGATAAACAATAATTGATAAAACATTATTACACAGGTATAGCCTGTACGATAAAAAGTGAAATATAAACAGATTCTATTTCGAATCAGGATTAGAAATTCTGTACGTCTTTGGTACATAAATTTTTGCGTACAGAGATTTTTGTGTAAAATATGATTCTGGCAAACTGGGAGAAAAAAAACAAATATGTATATATATGTATATATGTATATACTGTAGGGCATTCTTGTCCTATACAAGAATTGTAAAATTTCCAAACTGTAAGTTCTCTTAGAACATTTTTTCCTTTTTTGTGCCCTTCTGTACATTTAATTGAAAATAATAAAGAAGAGAAAAAGAGAAAATTGTATAAGATGATTCGATTGTTACGTGAATATGACGTTAATCGCTGTCTTTCTATCACACAGTTATGATATTGAGCTCGCTACTTAAGTGACGGAAGTAATGTCCAAAATTATCATGTACGTTTCATCACCGCACACAATCACGTTGCATCGTACAGTGCTTCTTCCTCTTCATTGTATTTGGCCTGGAACTCGGACTGTGACTAGTATTATTGTTGTTATTGTTATTATTGTTTCCATTATTGTGGAGTGCATGCTTGATCCTATTTTGACCAGTTATATTATTGTTGATGCGATAAGTGGCTTTGAAATTCTGTTGGTGATGGGCTGCAAAAGAAAAATGTCGACAAGATAATACAACGCATAAAATAAACTTGAATGTTATACTATTCATATAACGATCTTTTTAAAATTTTATTATAGCAATTTTGTAATACACACAGGTACCAAACAGAATCGCTTGAATGCCGTACCATGAGTGATTCCCTTGAATGCCTTTTTTCCTGAATAAGGATGAATTTGCTGATTGTTATAGATGTGCCTATCTTTGTTTTTATCGTTTTCGTTTTTCCCGCCAGTATTTGGAGAATTGCCACGACTGCATTCGGAATCCTTAGACAAATAAATAATTCAAGATTAAAAACAATCTCATTGCTACATACATATAATATATATATATATATATATATATATATATATATGTGCGTGAAATAAAATTTTAATACTGAATAAAGATGTTACTTGATACAAAGAAATGTAAATAAAAATTCTCGATAATGATATACATAATAAAGATTTATTAAAGATATCTTTTTAGAATATTTACCGTATCACTGGCAGGAGCTGAAAGAGTAGATGCATCAGAGCCAGTTGAGCTTGACAAGAATCTCCTTCACTTATAGGTGCTGGGAATGTTTCTTTGATCCACTTACGGTAATCTATTACTTCGTCTGTCACGCGAATTATTCTTCCTAGAATGCTGCATGCAATAAAAATATTTCCCTTGTGTTATAATTTTCGATATTGTACAAATAAAATAAAGCTTAGAATAATAATTAAAAAAAAGAATTAGAAATTTATAATTTTTATTTTACCTTTCTTTATTGGCGTCATTTACTAAGATATTTAAGGGACTGACTGCTTGAGAAAGGACAAAGTAGGCCCAATCAAATGCATCTTTTACATACAAAGCGCCGTAACTACTACGGCCAATATCGTTTCCAGGTGTCAATGGGTCTTCTATACATAACAAGGATGGGCGATGACCATCTATCATGTCTCGTTGAACCTATTAATTAATGTAAACTTAATTAATTCAATTAAAACTAATTAATAACGAAATGCTTCAATATTAATAAATGTAAAACTTTTGTCATTGTAAATGTTATACCTCCTCTTTAGATATGTAAGTACCACCATCCTTTACACGAATGCCAGTCTTAACATAGTTGAACTTTCTACCATATAATTCTAGAAATTCAATCAGTAGTACACCCAGATTGGCGTTTGAACAATAAGCATTTTGTCTCGGATGTAGCTAAAATAATTTTAAAAAGTCGTTTGATTCAATAATTAATTTTGGCGTCAATTCGGCCTAATTAGCTAATTATGATAAGGATTTTAATTGTTAAAATGATTATACTCACTTGTAAAAAACTAATGGTCATGAGTATTAGACTGTACGAGGATATACCACCGGTAAATACTTCGTTAAGATCTCTCTGTAATAGGAATTGCTTCAACACCATGACTAGCTTCTCCAGCACTGGATATCGTCTCTTGAAAGAGTTTATCAACTCCGCAGACTTGACGCCGTTGTTCATATTAAAACTGATGTCCACTTTAATATCGCTTTCTTTATCGGTCAGTTTGACGATGGGCACACTGGCCTTGTCCAATACTTTAATAGATGATGGTTCAGCGATATTTTGATCAAGTAAAGCACGTTCCAATGTACGTAATGGAAGATTTGTCCACATTCCTATTACTACCAAATCTATGTCACTGTAATAAGAAGCAAAAGGTATATATGATATGTAACAATTTTTATCACATATAATTAAACCATTATATTTTTATCACTATTTTTGACACATTGTGTGTATGAATCAAACATTTAAATGTTTCCATTTAAAAATCTGATAGAGTATTTAATCCTGTTGTTTGTGACTGACAGATAAATATTAAATTATTTTCATATAGATATATATGCATAAAATACATCAGATATCAGTACATACCTTGTAGGCAAATATAAACCTGTACGAAAACTGCCAAACACTTCGACTTTAGAGTCTGGCCAGAGATCATAAATTACTTGTTCTATTCTCTTTACGACTTTAATCCTTAAAGCGTGCTCGTCGTTTGAGGGACACATGTATGCAAAAAAATCTTCTATCTCCTCATGTAATCTAAACAAAATATGTTATATTTAATATACAATATTAAATATTTAGAATCAATTTTTAAATATTTCTTAGGTTTCTGTGTGTATTCATTTCTTTTGATTATTATTTTAGTATAATATTTTGAATATATAAAAAAAGCAGCAATATAATGAAAAGGAACATTACAAAAATATTTTGTATCATTAATATTTTTATAATAAAATAATGAGTATAAATGTTTATAATAGAATAAGCTTTTTATCGTGCTCTTCTCTAATAATAAATAATGTTACACAAGACGATGAAATTAACATAGAAAATCTTAAATTTGAAAAATTTATAACTATTCATATGTATGTGTCTATTAGCTCTGGACAAGAATTAATAAAAAGATTTAAAATTATATATGTAAATTGTAATACTCGTATTAACACTCATTTAATAAATGCTTCATCAAATGATATAACGCTATATCAGATGATCAGATATGAAGAATCAATATGTTTTGTATATATATATCTCTCTCTGCTGAACATACACCTGTACAAATATAACACATAATTAAGAAATGCAAGTTTCTATATATTGTTTGTTATTTGAACATTATCGAAGGCATCTTTACAAGACACCTTTCACCCCTTGTCCTTCAGATTATAATCCCCAACACATACACCTCAAATTATATATCCCACATGTTTATAAAACATGTTTACAATTTTTTATACAACCCAACGAATTATAAAATTCGTTGGGTAGTATAAAAAACGAAGCTTCAAACTTTTAACAGCTATACTTTATTTGTAATCCTAAAATAATTTGAACGCAAGAGAGAAAAAAAAGAGAGATGCAAGCATGGGAGAAGTGCATTAAGAAATTCGAAATACACATTACAAATCTAAATTCCCCGGTACTGCGATCGAAAAATACCCGATCCTATCCAGCCTACGGTGTCGTCCTTTCAAGGGACGCCCTTACAAAGGGAAGGACCTAACCTAAGAGGAACACCCATATGGACCGCGTGTGCGATTTCTCGCGAACGAAGAACTCGATCCAGGGGACGAGGAATACGCACCCAATGACCCCTTGGAGTAGTGTTTGTTCTCCAGGCGCCAGGGACAGCCGCCGTACTCGCCCACGAGGGCGTCGTAGTTGTAGTTCATGCCGTAGGTGCTCGCACGGTTGTCGCTTTTCCTCCGAGACGGGTTGTAATAATTGTTGCAGGCGTTGTGGGGTAAACGATGCTGCTCGCCGTTGCCGGCGACGGCACGGCCGTTGCTGCCGCCGTTGCTGACGCCGTTGCTGATGCTGCCGATGTTGCTGCCAGGTGTGTTGCCGGCCGCCGCCGAACTCGTGTCCAGCGCGAGAAAGTCCTGCTGCAGCCGCACGCCCATACTGTTATTATTCGCGGTAGCGTCGTTAGGTCGCAGGGCCAGGACGTCGTCGCCCTTCTCAGTCTCCCAGATGTTCAACCACAGCTTCTTTGCGGGGCCGTTCTGCTCCGGTTGGCACCAACCGATGGTCGGATCCATTAAATTGGCGCCGTGGAACGAGGGAAACCGTCGGTGGTCTCCTCCTTCTATACTCTCGTACGTATATATATGTGTGTGTATATATATATATAGATATATATGTATATATATAATGGTGTGTGTATATATATATGTATATATGTATGTGTGCGTGCGTGCGAGCGCGCGTTCTCTCGACGCTGTGTGCGAGTGCGTCGAGAGTGCGGACGCACCACGCACCACGTCGCGTGTCGCTCCCCTTCCTCGTCGACGTTCGCGCACTCTTTCTCTTTTTTTTTATTCACCGTCTAAAATCTTCTCGAATTCTCGGGTGATACTCCCGACGAGACACACTTGTCGCGATTCGTCGACGATTTATTTCCCCCGGTCTCTCTGGGTCTCGGTACGCGCCGTACTAACCTGCGCTAGAGAGTACACTAAACTATATTAAAACGCCGAGAGAGAGAGAGATATATAGGTTCGTGTATACGAGGGAACACGGCCCATGGAGGCACGCACACGCACACGCACGACCACCGAGCCCGAGATTCGCCGACGGTGCCCGATTAAGGGGATGATATTCCTCAGCGAGATATTCCACCGCCAGAGAGGAGATTCTGCGCGCGAGACTCCGCGTCTAGGTGTGTTATTATTGTTATTATCGCGCCGCGCTTCCCTCTGCTTCGTGAAAATCAGCCCATCGCGGGAGTTCTCTGCTTTTTCGCGATACCGGAGTTCCACGAGCGAATCTTCTTTTTTAGGGATCGATTCACCCTTTCCTTCCCTCGACTCTCCTCGAAGTTTCGCGAATAATAGCGAAAACATGTTTTCTTCATCCTCCAGGTATTTTTATACATCATTTTTTAATACATATTTTAATATAGATTTTTTCTCTTTAATATTTAATTTTTTGCCAAAATATTTTCGAATGTAGGTATATAGAAAGTATAAATATGGAAAAGCAAATTATTATCATCGAAATGATGTCACTGTCAAAACTTTTGATAGTTAATTATCAAAATTAAATAGCGAAAAATTGATTATTTGTCTATAAAAAAATAGCAATAATAAAAAATTGTATATGCGTGTATATGTATTTTATTTTGAGTGCGTATACAATTCGCGATCATCTTCCGCGAGAAGCATACATGTGCGACAAAAAGGAACAGACCTGTCAAGATGCGAAATGACACATGCACAAACGGGATTGAATGAATTATTATGTGCGTGACTTTTTCATGTTTTAACATAAGAGTAAGAGAAAGATTCGCGAGTTATATAGAGATATTTTGACAGATCAGATGCGGAGGAGCCTTTTGCATGAGTTTCCTCGTCGAGGCGAATGACATTTTATACATGATGCTAAAGTTGAATAAATTCGCGTACAAGGTTATACGAGGATTCGTGCAATGCGCGTGTGTGACGTATTGCGTGCACGAATACGTAGGAGATATCGTTGTGGTATGTATTAATATTATACATATAGCGTAAGATATATAGATTTTTTTTTAAGAATTTAGTATTGTTTGTGAAATTTTTTTTAGCATTTGAAAATTATTTGTTTCTCTATAAAATTTACAGTTTAAAAGATTTTCCCTGCATCAAGATATCAACACATCATATCTATTTTGAAAACATTATATTTGATTGTACAGGTTTTATAAAAGTAAGAGAGTAATACATAGTAAATTTATTTTTTATAAATAAAATTTATCATATTTTTGTACACACAATACTTGTATTATATATGTATATTTTGTATGTATTTAAAAGAAAAATGTATTACAAAAATAAAACAAATATTTATAATTACAGTGCAATGGTCCATCCATGGAACCTACATTATATACCAATGATGTATTACTAATGGAAAGAATATCAGTTAGACTACAAAAGTTGGAGAAAGGTGATATTGTCATTTCCAAATGTCCCACTAATCCTAAACAAAATATATGCAAACGAATTGTAGGTTTGCCTGGAGACAATATAAGGAATGGTCTGAATATAATAATGGTAAATTATGAGATAAATTATATCTTTATAAAGAAGATTAATTTATTATTTCACACATATATTATTTCTATTTTATTAATTAATTTTAAAATAATATAAAATAATATGATTAATAAAATAGAAATAAATTATGTTAATTTAATTATATAATTTAAAATTAAATATATAATTTAGAAGAACACATTAATTATTACGATGATATCTTTTCAGATACCTTATGGGCATGTTTGGTTAGAAGGTGATAATAGTAATAATTCTACAGATTCACGAGTGTATGGACCAGTGCCTCATGGATTGTTACGTGGACGAGCTTTATGTAAAATATTCCCTTTGAGAGAGATAACTATGTTCACAACAAATGCGTAACTTAAATCAATCAGAAAAATCTTTAATGATTAAGGATTATAATTATGGAACAATTTTTAAGTTAGTTAGATTAATTTAAGAGAAAATAAAGTTTCTTAAGTATATTGCACATAGATATGATTTTCATATAATTCTCAAAATATTTGTCTATATTTGTTTGATATTTTACATCAAATATTTTCTATATCTTGTGTGATAATAGTGACAATAAATATAGTATATTTATTAGATTATATCAGCAATAACATAGTTATGTAATTTAAGATGAGAAAGAGAAGTATGCGAAAAGATACAAGAGTAAATATGATAAACTAAATCTTGACCATTTTTATCCGTAACGTTTAAAGGTCAATTAAAAGTCGACGAGATAATGAAGTATGTGCAAGCTGGTAATAAGAGTGATACCTATATATATGGGAAATGGTTAGTATAATCAGGTATATCGTGACGAGTACTTCGATCTTGCGACAATGTGAGTATATGTCTCTTTTTTTACTTTTTATTTTTGTTAAATTTCTTTCGCTGTTTCTTGTAATTACATAAAGATCTTGAAAATAATTCCAAAAAATTAAATTAAATTGAAAAATAGGTTAAAATTAGGTTATAAACCTAAAAATTAGGTTATAAACTGTTGAAAGCGAAAGTACAAAGAAAGTCATTAAGTGACAATTAAAGAGAATAAAAATTATAATTAAAATGATTTTAAATCCAGATGCGAAAAATGATTTTAAATTGTAAAGATGATATATTTTATTTTTTTTATATCCATGTATCGAAAGTCGAATTTAACAAAATTATATCGATATATCGATAATCGATTAAAATTTGAAAATCGAGATATTTAAAAGAATACTTAGAAATATTGATTAATGAAGAAAAAAATTTGTATAATTATTTAAACATATATATTTAAATTTTAATTATTTAAATAATTAGTTATATATTAAAGTTTGTTATTGCACATTTATCTGATAATGCTATGAAAAAATACAGATTATGCTACAGAAAAAAGAGATAACCTCTTCTTTAAATATCAATTTTTGAAATGTATATTATTTTCTTTATTAGTTTTATTTTATTTTATGGTATAAAGAATTATTATACTTTTATATAGTTATTAAAAAAATTTTAATTTTTACCACCTTTTTTTCAAAAATTTTACCAAAAAGAAGGGTCATTTTTGTGAAAAAAAAAAAATTATTTATTTCTCATAAATTCCTACAGAGTATCATTTTGCTAATTATTTTGCTATTGCTAGTTTTTAAACATACAATTTTAAATGTCACATTTGTTCCTCAAATTTTATTGATCATGTGGGATAAGACATTTCATTTTTTGCTAAAAATATCAAGATAGGTATATGTAAACACATTGATAAAATTGATATCTCATATATGTATACATGTGTATAGTTAAAAAAATTAATTATTTTGTACTCTGATAAATTTAGATGGCTACTCTACGATGGGGCATCGCCAGTGCGGGGAAGATATCGCACGATTTCGTGACAGGGTTGAGCACTTTGTCGGCGAACGAGCACCAGGTGATCGCTGTCGCGGCGCGACAATTGTCACGCGCGCAGGATTTCGCGAAGCTCCACAAGATCAAGAAGGCCTACGATGATTACGAGAAATTGGCGTTGGATAAAGACATCGGTATTTGCACGCAGTAGCAACACTGAAGCTTTCGCTTTCATCAATTCGCTAATTCATAAGAGTAAATTTAGCTGCAAAAGTATATCCCGCACTAAATCTTACGTAAAATGGACTTTGATTGGTTTTTTTGTATGTTGTAGCTTATAACAGCTCGCAGAATCTGAGTTTTTCGTGTTTGAGTGGCTGTAAATCAGAAACTGTTTGCATTATTTAGTTTTGAGTCTATTACATCTTTTGTTAAACAGATCATAAGTTACTACAACATATGAGAAACAAATTTTATTAACAATAAGATTCAATTTTACACAGTATAGAATTTTTGAATTTATATGAAACCCTAGATGAATTCCAGTAAAATCAGCTGATTTTTTCATATGTTGACTGAACAAAAAATGTAATAGGTTTAAAGCTAAATAATAGACAATCATTATAATCAGTCAAACATGAAAAAGTCGAGCTTCATGAATTGTTTGACTAGCTGTAACTCAATAATGTAATGTAAATTTATTTTACATAAGATGTGGATACTTCTATCTATACACTTAACATAAAATATAAACAGAAATATTTAAATTTAAAGTATAACTTTTAAAGTATTTTTTTGCGTGGAAACATGCATATTTAAATTTACTGTTTTTTGTTCTCAAGACATTGTATACATCGGTATGATCCATCCTTACCATTTTGATATCGGGATGCTGATGCTGAAGCATGGCAAACACATTCTGTGCGAGAAGCCGTTGACAATGAACTTGAAACAGACTACCGAACTGATCAATTATGCGAGAAGCAAGAAGTTGTTCCTGATGGAGGCTGTATGGAGCCGCTGCTTCCCCGTGTACGATGCTATCAGGAAGGAACTCGCATCCGGCAGCATCGGCGACGTTTATCAAGTAGTCGTGCCCTTCGGTTTCGGACTTTCCAACGTCGATCGAGTAACGTTAGTATAATATATTTAATTTAAAATTAAATTAACTTTAAATGTACATTAATTAATTTAAAATAAATAAATATAATTTAAAATTAATTAAATAAACTTAAAATGTACATAGATAAGAAAAGAGAAGTAAAAAAATGATTGCCTAAAGAACGATGAAACAATTAGTTTCTATTAGGCTGTTTATTGTCTCTGCATGAATTAATTAATCGAAAATTAATTTTACGATTCGCTCGTTTCAGTACTAAGGAATTGGGCGGCGGCACGATTCTGGATCTCGGCATTTATTGCTTGCAATTCGTCAGCTTGGTCTATAACAACGAGATGCCAGAGAGTATAAAAGCCACCGGGATTTTAAACGAGGATGGCGTGGATATGTCCATGTCGGCTATTTTGCTCTACAAAGGGAATCGCACCGCGACTATCATAACGCAGGGATTCGTCAATTTATCAAACGAAGCATATATCTGTGGGACTAAAGGTATAATAAGAGTGCCGCAATTCTGGTGTCCGACATCGGTCGAATTACCGAGTGGAACACTGAATTTTTCGTTGCCGCAAACAAGTGGAGAATTTAACTTCATAAATTCCGCCGGACTTTCCTATGAAGCTGCTGAAGCTCGCTCGTGTATTCTAAAAGGTAAAGCTATTTTGCATAATATATATCTTTTAAAGATGTAAGCTTTATATATTACACACACATATATATATATATATATATATATATATATTTACATGAATGAATGAATGAATTATAATATAAATTACTACATATAAGTTTTTCTATAATAAAAATTTATTCTTGTTATAATGTCACTGATTTTAATATAAATTATTTTCTTATATATATTGTAGGTTTGATAGAAAGCCCGAAAATTTCGCATGATACATCTTTATTACTAGCCAGATTGGAGGACGAACTTCGCAGACAATTGGGTGTTGTGTATCCTGCAGATGCTTGAAAAGTCATATACATGTTTTACAAATAACATATGATTACACATATACATATAATATAATATAAAAACAATGTTATATTATTATATGTACTATTGACATAACATACAGAGTATATTTATGCATCCAATCCAATGTACTATAAATTAAGAGAATAGTTTAATATTGCTTGATATGTTGATATGTTTGACTATTTTTAAAAATCATAAAAAATTTATTACAAATATTTTCTACATTGTATTTAAAAAATTTATTTTATTATATAAATTATTGCATTGTCTAATTTGTAAGCCGTCCTGTTGAATCGAGACCGGAGCCTAGTACGGGTCCCGATTTGACAGGCGTCCGAATAGTTCGGACATGAACCATATCACGGAATCAAACCTTTTACCGAGCGGCACGACGTAGTTTATGTCCACTTTGTCAGGGGGCGCACTAGTACACGCGGCCGCTGAATCCCGGTGGCTCTCGGGTTTCTCTTTAGTTGTAAATAGAAACCGATTTACCGATTATAATCAATTTGCGTGATAATTAAAGAACGAAACTCATCAGCGAGATGTATGAAAGTACTCGCGTGTCGCCGCGAGTATTCACGGCGATACAAAATGTTGATATTCAGGAGCTGTCAATGTGCTCGCACAAGGATATTAGACCCATCTTGCCGTGTTTGGTTAGAATGAGTCTTATCTCGCCGCTTGATATAACGAAGGAATGTGTGGAGGGTAGGAAGCAGGTTCTCACGATACTGTCAGGCATTGAGTCCGTCAATTCTATCATTGCTCTCTTATCCATCGATTTCCATGCGCTCGAAACCGATGTTCGACAGGAGCAGCAGTTGAGGTTAAGATTTATTACATTTCTTTTATTATACTCTTTTATATATTTATATATTCATTTATATATTTTTATATATTTTTATATATTTTTATATATTTATATTTTTAAATGTCAAGCAAATTTTGTCATAGAATTTTATCACTTTTTATTTAAACTTTTTGCTTTTAAAATAACAGTAAATTGCTTTTAAAATTTATAATTTTAATATACACTTTTCATATATATATCAGGAATAATGTTATATGTTAATATAATTGTCTATCTTTTCTAGACAAAAGCTTGGCAGTGTGCAGCGAGACAGTGTACTTGCCCAGTCTCTATCAAGTGGCCTGGCTTTGGAGTTTGAACGCAGCGAGTCCATTCGCAGGATCAGACTGGTGCTCAGCGAGATCCTGTTTATAGCGTCTCAGATACAGGAGCTGCAAAAGAATCAGGAGTTTCAAATCAAGCAGTCGGATTTATTCGATAATGCAGTCTACATGGAAGAAATAAGTTATGTCATCTGCATAGCACTCGCTGAATTGCCAACATTGCTGTCCATCCTCGACATTGCAGAGACTCTATTGCACGTCAAGCATGGTCCAGATATCATCTGCTGGATTGTCGCCAACAGTCCAGACAGTTTTTCAGAAGTGTGTGCGCACTTAATAGCTAATGGAGAGCGACAAGAAGAATCTGCTTTAGGTAGAATCAGAACGCAAGCCATCACGATGCTCTGCCAGATGAATCCAAGTCAAGCTTTGGCGATCAGGGCGAAATGTGTGGAACTATGCAGGATGCCTGCCCTGGCTATCACTCTGAGTCTAGAACACGAGAATGCAAACAGCTCGCAGCCCGAGAGCGATGTCGTTGCCTTCGTGTCCGGCTTGCTACTAGGTAGCGATCAGCAAGTGCGTTCGTGGATTGCTATGTTCATCCGGAATGGCCAGAAACGCAAATGGGAGTCTCAAACGGCCTTGCAGGCATTGCGGGAGGAATTGCTCAAGCGATTGCAGACAATCGTTTCTCAAAGCACAGACAGTCAATTGGCGGAGTCGCAAGTCGTTCAAGCGAGCGCCTTGTTGAGACTTTACTGCGCTCTGAGAGGCATCGGCGGCATCAAGTTTCAGGATGACGAAGTGGCGATGATTGTACAACTGTTAACGTCACATCCGCCGCCGTCGCCAGCTGGGGTCAGGTTCGTCTCCCTCGGTTTGTGCATGCTGATAGCCTGTCCCTCGTTGATCGGACATCATAATCTGGAGAAACGCAGCATCGAGTGGGTCCAGTGGCTGGTACGTGAGGAGGCGTATTTTGAGAGCGCAAGCGGCGTTACCGCCAGTTTGGCGAGATGCTGCTGCTAATGGCGATACACTTCCACAGCAATCAGCTGTCGGCGATCTGCGAGTTGGTCTGCGCCACTCTTGGCATGAAGATACCCATCAGGCCGAACAATCTTACGCGGATCAAACAGATCTTTATGCAGGAAATCTTCACCGAGCAGGTGGTCACAGCTCACGCTGTTAAGGTACCGGTTACGGCGAATCTGAACGCTAACATCCCTGGATTTCTGCCGGTTCACTGTATTCATCAGCTGTTGAAGTCCCGGGCCTTCGCCAAACATCGGGTGCCCATCAAGAATTGGATATATCGGCAAATATGCGCGAGCGTTCCGCCGCTGCACCCGGTTCTACCTGCCCTGGTGGAGGTCTACGTGAATTCCATCCTAGTGACGAACAACAAAACGTCCGAGCACACGAACAAGCCTATCACTGAGAACGAAATCCGCCGGGTGTTTCAGAACAGCGTGTTCGGGGCGAACTTTGACTTCAAGAAGAATTCTGTCATGCAGATGGACGACAGTATGGACATGGATACCTCGAAACCCTCGCTCACGTCTCAGTTACTGCTGTTGTACTATCTTTTGCTGTACGAGGACGTGAGACTGTCCAACATGCACATCTTCATATCGCAAGGCAAAAAGCTCAAGTCGTATTCGACGGAATTTTTATCCGAATTACCGATCAAGTATCTGTTGCAACTCGTTCAACGGGATCAGATGAACTACGCTAGTCTGTTTTCGCCACTTCTTCGACTATTGGCCACTCATTTCCCGCATCTGTCCCTGGTGGACGACTGGCTTGACGACGAGATGATCAACATCGATTCTGCCATCGCAAGTTATGAAAACACGAAAATCACCGACATCGCGATCGTCGAGGCCTTCGGCCACGTTAAAACTTGTCCTTCCAGGACCGGAAGATTACTTAGACAATTGATGTCGATGAAGCCGACTGAAATCTGGCCTCACGCTGAACTGATTATACATTATTTTAAAGATATTCTTGACGAACAAGTTCCTAGATATATACAAGGTATACATTATTTTAATAATTATTTAATGAATATGCTCAATAGCTCTATTATTTGTTTTTATAAATATACATTTTAATTAATTATTAACGTGATTAATTATAATTATTATCATTGAACATTTACAGTTATTATTTATTAAAAATTTACATGCAAAACTTTTTAAATTTCAGAACTGTACAAACAAGTGTGGCTCAGGCTTAATACAGTATTACCACGCTGTTTATGGGTTCTTTCTATAAATGCGTTATTGATAGAAAATTTAATAGTAAAAAATGTTTTCTTAACACAAGACAATATTGTATTGGACCCGTTGCAAGTATTGAGATGTGACACGAGAGTTTTCAGATGTGCGCCGATTTTATCTGTGATTCTTAGGTAAGTTAAGATGTGATCTAAATAAATAAAAATAAAAGTTATTTTAAATTATTTTATATAATAAAAATATGATCTAATTATAATCTGAGGTTTCAATAGAATTTTGCAAGCCACATTGGCCGCGTCGCGGTCTCAGTTATCCAGACATATGCAAGACAAGCCTTTGACCGAAAAAATCGGCCAATTGACGAGTGAAGTGGAGAGAGAGGATTTGAGAATAGCTTTGGTGACTGGTCAGGAAAGTGCGGCGGTGCAAATTTTATTGGAAGCATGTCTGGTAACTCCAGAGGACAAGGCTATTCCTGGACAAATGTGGTCGCTCCGAGAAATACGGAGTGTCGTATGCTCGTACTTACATCAAGTATTCATAGCCGATCCGTCTCTGGCCAAATTGGTTCACTTTCAGGTTCGTAATAATAAAGAACTCTGCACACCAAATATATAGGATTTTAGCTTTGTTCTTGCATCTTTTATTAAGCAGAACATACATATGATTTTAATGATATAATATATATATATATATATATATATATATATAATACATATATGATCTATTCATTATATTATATATCTCTCAATCTATTCGAATTAATTATTTAATTGATATTCTCTAGTGCACTTATATCACGATGAACATCTTTTATCCGCAGGGATATCCACGGGAATTATTGCCGATCACTGTTTCCGGGATTCCATCCATGCACATATGTCTCGATTGGATTCCGGAATTGTTGTCGCAGCCCGAGCCGGAAAAACAAGTTTTTGCGGTCGACTTGGCTTCGCATCTAGCGATTCAATACGCTCTACCGAAGGCATTGAGCGTTTGCCGACTAGCGATCAACACTCTGATAACACTGTTAGGTGTGTTATCCGCCAAGGATCGATTCATTCTTTTCATGCCAGTGTTAGAGTCGTTGACGCGGATATGCCTGGCATTTCCTCCGTTGGCTGAGGACACTACGGGTTTATTGCTTCAACTTGGCAGAGTCAGTTCGGCACAGGCGGCCTTGGGCGACCGAATGACGAACTTGTTGTGTCAAGAGGTGAACGCGACATTTTGTACTCTGCTGCAGAAGGCCATACTGCAATCGCGAGTTTACTAAAACGCAATTTAATGTAATAATAATCCTACAAAATTGTTAACTTAGTTTCGAGAATTCTAATATATATTATGTTTAATATAAATTTATCTTTTCAATCATCTCTCGTTCATCACGGATCTTGTTAAGCGACTGTCAACTTTGTGATCTATTTTTGAGTCTTGTATAAATTAAATTAGAGATACCTTTGATATATTATGGTATTACATATATATATAATAAAATTGTAATGTACTCGCGATTGCACGTATAACGTGATTATGTCAATATAATTAAGTCAAAGATATATATATACACAAATGATTATTGACATGGCAATTTTTTCTATTTAATAATAATCTTATATGAGAGAGTATTTTTTGTATGTATATTTTGATCTCTTAAAAATAAATATAGAAAAATATATTGACATCTTCTGTCTCTTACATAGAGACAAGTAATTTTACAGTAAGAAGAAAAATTAGTATTTTCTATTTTAATATAAATGCTGTGAGATGTATGTAACAATAAAGAGAGACGTTTCATGGATACTATTACATATTTACAAGATTTTATTACATGCTTAAAACACAGAGACTTTATATATTCTTTCTACTTGGTCTTTCATGCCTACAATAGTTTATCATGTTCTGAATGCTGATATTTTTCTTTTGCAAGTTGTAACGCAAAATTCGCTTAGAAATTATTATACATTATCTTCTTTACAAAACAAATTATTGGAAATTATCTGGATAATAATACATAGAATATTTATGTAAGTATTTCATATATAATATAATCTACATATTATAAATGTGTCCACTTTGAATATGTTACAAATATTCAGATGAAGCATTTGTTAATATATAAAGAAAAATTGAGTCTGTTTATTCTAAAGAATTTAACATCAAGAGTTGTTTCAATACTTTGGTTTGACTCGTCTCTCTGATTTCACCAGCTAAGAACATCTCGTCCACAACAGTATACACCTAAAATAAGTATTATTATTACATACACTACAAAATGAATAATTAAACAATTAAATTAAGTAGTATATAAAGCTTCATGATATTAAAATAAGAATTTTTTTATAAATTTTATTTAATTTTTTACAAAAATAATGTTAACATGTAAATGGAGAGAATATAATACCTTGTAAAAATTGAAGACTAAATCCAACTCGCATACATTATGGAAGTATTCATTCAACACCTCGACAAAATTATGAATTGCTTCCAAATAACAGAGATTATTATCATTAACATCGACGCAAATGCAGAAATATAAGCCTGCATATCGCCTGTATACTATCTTAAAATTGCGAAACTGAAATTTTTATATATTTATATTATACATATGGTAACTATGTAGTTCACAAGAAAGTAGCTCGTCGAATCTTGTCAAACTCACCTCAACAAAGTTTGTGTGTTTTGCATCTCTGACAGTGACAACTGCGTGAACTTCTTCTATCAACTTTTGCTTTTCATCATCATCAAAATTCATATACCACTTTGCTAATCTCGTCTTACCCGCTCTATTTTGTATAAGAATGAAACGTATCTGTAAAAAAAAGTGAAGTTTAAAGCACTTAAATGATTATCCCCATCATTGCCAATTCTCAATTGTTAGCACCATTATCACTGAACGTAAGATAATTTTATCAAAGATGTATTTCCTCGTTATTCAATAAGAGTGATTTTTATGTGATATAAAAGCACAATTTTCTAATCTATTAAATCGAGTTTGTCAAGTATGTCTATCAACCACCTGACAGAAGTGTCAATCGGAGATGACATTTTGGAGCACATTTTTTCGTATATATTTATTCGTATTATTAGCGGAAGATATCGATTTGCTCTTAATAATTATACGTTTCCACGTACCATTTTCGAAATCGCTTAATTCCGTCACTCGATGTATTAATCTTTCTATGAAATTTTTGTAAACATAAAATTCTATCAATTCCCCGCCCACCGAACACGAAGTAGCCGTAATCACTTTCGAGAGAGAGAGAGAGAGAGAGAGAGAGAGCCTCGTCGTAGAATTACAGCGCCTCTATAATCTATATTGTAACTTCTTTTCAAACATATTCTGTCGATACATTTGATATACTGAATTATTAACTGTCGATAATGAAGAGATAGAACTTACCGATGATATATTTACCATATGTGAAAAAATTTCAAAAAATATATATAAATATAAATGATTGATGATTAGAAAAAAGAGGGGCAGAAATTAAAACTTTGAGAATTGTGATTTCAGGAATTTCTAGAATTTTTAGAGATGCGAAGATACTTTCGATAATCAGATATAAATATAAAAAAATATTTTATGATTAATATAGATACTAATAATTCTTTCTTTGACACTTTCCTGCTGATATTTATGATGGATAAGTTTTATTTTTTTCTTATTGTTTGTTTTTTAATATATGTATTTTGTGTTGTGTATTTACATGTTATCTTATCGCAAAATACATATTATGCTAACTAATTTGCAATGCAGATCAACGAGATAGCATAATGCTTTATCTCAGTTTTTGTATTTTAAATATAATCACTGTACACGTGCCTGAATATAATATTGTGCAGCTTTTACAACACGCAATACTTTAAAATTATTTTAAATTTGAGTTTATGTGTAGTCATTTTTTGACATTTCTGTTATACTCTTTATATTCTATATTATACTCTTCATATAAATAAAAAACCTGTTTATCAAAAATTATTTTTAAATTAATCATTCGCGCTTTAATCAATTTCAATCTAAAATAAATCTTGAATTAATTCTAATTTTGATCGAGGATTATATATAAAACCGAATTTACCGAATAAATTACGTTTGATTCCATTACTTTTTATCGGTGACGAGTTCACCGTCGTCCTGAAAAGGAGAGGGAGAGAGAGAGAGAGAGAAAGAGATTTCTCCATTGTTAATTCGCCGTCGTAGAATGGAATGTTTTTAGTCTATCCAATTTGTCGGCAGCGATTGCGCCCAACTTTCCGCTCATTATCGGATAGAGCGAGCAGCAGGAATATCGTCGATTCCTCGAAGGAGGAACGACCGGACCGGCTGAGAGTTGCGCGACAGATGTCAAATATTAATTTCGCTAGGCGCAGCCACACAGTATTTGCATTTAATTACTGCGGTTTACGCAAACTGTGCCATCTCGCTCTCCTTCTCCTCTTCTTTTCCGACTCTCCTTTCGTTATTATCTGTCCCGCTCCGATTATATCCTTTTCTTTCTCATCGAACATCATGAGCAAACGACTTCATCCGTAATTACTCGAAAAGGATTAATGTTACGTAACGATATAAATCGAAGATCCTCTCGAGCTTTTGATGCGCGCTTTCAAGAGAAAATCTTATTTCAGCCTCACTCTTCGGTTCATTTTCATTTTCCGTTTGATAGAGAAGAAATATGCACTTTCTATTCAATTCTAATGAATGAACCATTCGTGCGTTCTTCATTCATTTATCACAAACTCACGTTATATTCTTGGCCTCGTGTAAAAAAAGAAAAATAATTAAATTGCCATATATGTGAGATTCAGGATTGGGTAATAACTACATAGTTAATTAGTTAAAAGTTAAAAAAAAGTTGATAACTCTTAACTTAGTTAATTTAAAATGTATTAATTTTTTTAACTTTAACTTATTTTTTACCTTAAACTTATTAACTTTTTTCCTAAGTTATAAACGTATTATTTTGAAATTAAAGTATTATTAATTTTTATGTTTATTTGTCATCAATTGTAATGACCAAAAAATATATTTCTATATAAAAATTAAAATTTCTTTGTTATTATAAATTAAAAAAAAATTATCAAACAAATAAATTCTAATTTAATATAAATGTTTTTAAACATTAACTTTTGATTTAACTTCAGTTAATTTACTTAATTGATTTAACTTTAATTTTAACTGAGTTAATTTTTTGTTCAGGCAAACTTTTAATTTAATTAAATTAATTTTATAAGCAACTAACTTTAATTTAACTTACCCAACCCTGGTGAGATTAAATTCTTAATTATATCATAGATCAATTATAAAAAATTGCAAGAATTATTTTCGAGAGTATAAAATTAAAATGATATATCACGAGCGAACGTATAATTTTGAAGAGATTTTTTTTTCACTTTCGAGAGAGCAAATCCGTCTTTCAGACGAGGCGAAAGGCATCGTTAGAAAGGTCTCGATGCATAAAACTAGAATTACCGCTTTTGATTGCAAAGAAAAGCAAATAATCCTGATATATGCTTCTGCGGGAAGGATATAGCCATGCCGTAAATTTATCCTAATCTCTTAATCCTTTTTTAAAAATATATATATATATATATATATGTATTGCGAGCCAGGATAGCGACGAATCGAGCGCGTCGCGGCTGACCCTTAGAATAATAGAATCATCTAAATTGTCGACTCGTTACGAGATCCAACGATAATGCCGCTGCATCAGCAGTGCAACTCGCGAATCGACCGCTTAGTCCTGTGCACTGCGAATGTATATATTTATGACGACGCGACAAGACGTTTCTTATGACCTAACGCGATGATTGCGAATTGGATGAATAAATTGCAACTGAGTTACGCAATTGGACTAATGCAATATTAATGCCTCGGCAACCACCTTAATTCGAATTACTGAAATTTAATCACGAGCGTGTTACATATCGGAACATTGTGAAAAGAACATTCTAATATTACTGAGAAAAAAATTTTTAAATTAATAAATATTTATTTCAATACTGCGCCTTATAAATCATTAATTTGAAACAAATAAATATTTTTTTTATCAAGTCAATATTATTAGTTTCAAAGAAAATATTTATAAGACAGTATTAGAATAAATATTTATTCGAATTCAATGAATTTTTTTCAGTATAAAAATATATTTTATTCGAAGAAACATCTGATTCTAAAAAATAATTAATATCTTTATTATTATAATTTATAAAAGCTCTTTATAGAAAACTTTAAATCTATAAATAAAAAGACAATAAGAGCTACATAAGTTATACGTTATTGTTACCTCGAACTATTAACATGTGTAAGCTTTCACGTCACAATAGAACATCTTACTCGATCTAATTACATATTAACAATGGCTGTTATCGAGTTTCGCAACCGACCTCCTAACAGAACAATTAGCAAGAGATCTGTTTCGCGACTATTACATATAATGACGTTGTGAGGAATAGAATATATACTAAAAAATGCTCTTACTTTATAAATGCGTTGATCTCGAACGTTAGCATATAACTTGAGCTTAGCATATAACTCCGGACATTTTTATTTTTATTATAATGACATTGATGAATAATTTATTGTTAATTTATACTAATATTTTAATTATTATTTGCGCTGAAGAAGGTTGGAAAAGACAACCGAAACGTACGACGAATTGAACTTGCTTCTGTATAATTTTTAATAATTTATGTTATAAATCGTTTCACAAATATATTTCTATACTTATGTAGCTCTTATTGCCTTTTTATTTGTAGATTTAAATCTTTATTATTATTATCAAAATTAAAACCGAGATTTCTGAGGTGTCAACATATACTCAGAAACGTTAAAGATAATTGAGAAAAAATATTGCATTCAAAAATTAATAAAATAAATCATTTCTTTTCTTAATTAAACATTAGAATTATTCGATTTCTTTTCTTCTTTCTGAGACGAGACGAACACGCCGTGGGATTTAAATAATAAGACGCAACGCATACAAGTATGAGCAAAGAATTTATATTCTTCAAACGACAATTGAGCACTTGTCACATTCGAGTTTGTGTTACGCTATATAAATATCGAAATAAAAAATATATATTCGGAATTCTGGAACGCTCGCGCGATCTCAAACGTTCGCCGTAAAATATGTTGTGGGAATTTTCAGGCCGCGTGTTTTTTTCTTTTTATCCCTCGAGAGCTTCGAGGCAATTGGATTTTTCACATCGCTCTAAAATTACTTACAACACCGATCGCTCAGGATGACAGTAAAGTCGTATGAAAAATCAAGTCGCCGACATGCGACGCGAGAAATGTGCGTGTAAAAACGGATACTTTTGTTTTCTTTCGCAACTTAAAACGTCACACATAACTCTACGATGATGACGATACGGATAAAGTATAATCGCGCAATTACTTAATGAATCTCGCGTAAACATCAGTCTCGCATAAAAGAGATATAGCTATAAAATTCGCTTCTTTCAGCGCGACGCTGAAAATCGATGAGAATAAAGATTTTCTTTTTGATTTAACTCGAATTAACATTTATGTTTTACAAAGTATTTTAACGCTTGAGAAAATTTCGTGGATTACATTTCTCTCACAGAGATATTTTACAAATTTTTTATATAAAGTATATCTCTTGAGATTTTTTTAAAACTAAAATGCGCTTCGAATGCCTTTCTCTTTGTACAAGAACTGACATAAATCGTTACAATAAATTATATAATATAATAAGAAAATAATTAGAGTGCTAATTTAATGACGAGTCTCTATACATTCGATGTACTATATAAAATTAAAGAAGTTATAAATTCGCTTACGGATTCGAGACACACATGCACATTTAATTCGCCCATTCACCTTGCTTTCATTTTGCAACGCGTTAATTTCATTGACTCATATGTCTTAATCCATACCGGATGTTCTACGCGAGTTGCGTTGTTGTTCATTTCGCAATGCGATACAAGTAAAGTATAGCGAGCCGGATAACTATCCATTTTTTCAGAGTTTCACGCTCGTACTTACATGCAATACAATTTTTTATACATATAATATAAATATATAAATTTACAAATTAAAACCTGTCATAAAACGTTAATAATTGGTACAATTAAAGGTCGACTTAATTCTTAATTCATAATGTTCGCCTTCACTCTCATACGTAAAATGTATAACAAAAAAAAATAAAATAAAAATCAAAACAAAAATAGAAAAAAATTAAAATCGTTTCAAGCGCGAAAGATTAAGCCAGGAAGAATTCAAGTATCAAACGATCGATAGTTCAATCAGTCGCCTCGCGATTATTTCGAATATTGAACTGGTATGAATTAATCACATTTACAGACATTCTGTCCTTAACAGCACAACATATCCGAACATCCTCTGGATGTCTTTCGGATATGTGTGCTGTTAGGGGGTCTAATATATATAGATGCACCATAATATAGATGCATAGAAAAATACAATGCAAATTATCATTTAGCTAGCTTAGCTTACCGATTATAGAGAAAAGGAGAGAGAAAGAGATAGGAATGGAAATAAATTATTATCCGTCACACGATCGCGCGTTAACGAGTGTGTCAATTGTTATCTCCGGATACGCAATGATCGTGCGACATGCCTATTATGAGCGAGAGAGAACGTATACGTATGATACAATACTGCAGATTCTCTAGAATGTGTAAGTACGCATACTATCGTGTCGAAATTGCAACTAAAGGCTCTAAAAGACTAACTATTTTTTTCTTTTTTTCTGGTTCAGAGAACATCGATGCCGATCCGTTTCGCGACGATGACGAAATAATCGTCCGCCGAGGAACTTGCCTACATAAAAAAATTTGCAGGGTCGACCTGTCATTCCGAGAAGCTGCGTAAACGTCGCGTTTTATTTTTGCAACAAATCGATGAATGCGCATATTTCGCATCGTGAGCAAAGTCGCCTTTTTTAGCACAACGGCTTATGATGATTCATGTGCAAACATCTAATCGTGTCTTCGCGTTTATTTTCTCTTTCGACATTTCATTATTTACTTTTCGCTTCGTTATCGTCCCTCGCAACTCGCAAGAGATTGAGTCTTTCTTGTGAAAATATGATTTTTGCAACTAAATACTAAAGTGACTAACAATAAGTGATATCGATCTCTCGCGTTTTAGATCTTCCCCTTCGTCAGGGTCAGACAAGGTTTCGTCGCGCATTCTTCTCTCGAATGAGAAGATTAGGAGAGGAGATGATTACAGTATAACTGGGGGCTGGGATAACAACATCTCAATCCCGACGTTAAACGATAATGATGATTATAAAATCCTTTACTTTACTCGACGTGTCGGCGAAAAATCATGCCAAGGACACAATTGGACTACTACGTGTTGTGAGCGCGGTTGTAACCGAGCGGAGGAGCCTTGACCTGATCTTTATGGGGGCTCATTAATTCGCGCGCGATTTTTCGAGCAAGCGTTCTCACGGCGCCCAAGAGAAGCAGAAGAACAAGCGCAGAAAAACACAACCCTCCTTTGCTTATTTAATGAGAATTAAAATCGATTCCGAAACTCAAAACTCGTAGTATGACGAAAAAAAGAGAAGACGGACGCTCGCAAAAAATTAGCTAATAACGATGCGTTTTAAAATAATCATTTGCATTTCCTTAAGCTGTCAGATCTCAGTATCTCAAAATTACAGACAATTTATAATTCGCCAGAAAAGTCAGAATTCAGAATTTTCTATTTATAATTTTGCATCACTTAATGTATCCTGATAGATGTAATATTGTATATATATTTTAATTTGTATTTTGTTCAAATATTTTCTGTATTACACATAATACATAAATTTTATAAACAGAGTTCTGTTTTGAATTTTTTTGTAAATTGCAGACCGTCTAGATGATCTTAAAATATTTAAATGCGAATCGAACGTGTGTTTATTTTTTCACGAGGGACTATTTTCTCTTTTTTTTTATCGTGTTACGACTTTGACTTTTATAAAATATTCATTAGAATGCTGTTGGCAATTTCAATCGATTTTTTGACGAATTTAAAAGACGTAAGAAAAAGTAAAAAAGTAGTAAAATGAGAGTGATTACAATAATAATATAAAAATAGATTTTTTAAAATGCGCATTAGGATTAGGAACACAATGAGTAAACCCCCGATGAAATAAGATATAAAAATAATTAATTGAGGCCAATGTATGCAGATGAGACAAATGAGATTATAAGTAAATATGATAATAATTCTCCAATAATAAGAAATTAACATATATATTTATGTAAGATAACCAAGATACAATTAATTAAAATTAAATATCTATTTATTAAACAATTATAGAAAAATCATTAAGAAAAATAAAAACTATCAATCTCATCATTGGAAAATAATTGAATTGTCTTTACTTATAATCGGGGATCTTGATCACACTTCGCTTTGCGATCCTGGCCCATTATTATTTGTATATTTCATTGCGTCTCGAGGGATTCAAAAAAGTCTCTGGTAATATCGTGCTTCAGACGTATGGCACCGAGAACGGAAATATATATAGTACGATACTTCCGCAGGATACGAAAAAAAAAATGCGATAACGAATGCCTCGAATATATACATATATACGAAGGTACGGTCGATATCGAGCGCAGAGTTTCGCCCGCGTTATCGCCGCGACGCATTATCTAGGCGATGACTAGATAATATTCGGCGAAGGGAAGCCGGGGCCACTCTCCATTCATTCGTGACACATTTATATTTTGCGCCTCGGGTGTCGTCGTGCTCGATTGATGCAATATGCGCATCACGTCGACACAGCCTTCGCGGCTTATAAACTTTCTTGCAGGAAACGATTGCGCGCGCAAAAGAGAGAGAATTACATAAATTGCATTATCATTTTCGTGAATGTACGTACGTATACTTTCTTACAGATGAAAATTACTTGTTCACTGTACCGTGAGGTCGAGTGGATTTAATTGAAATCATCGGAGATGAACGTGAACGTAATAATAAAGTCGGTAATTGTTACAAAATTCTTAGAACGCGGATTTATTTTTTTAATAACCGTGGCTAAAGATAAAGTTAATGATTTGTTCTTTATATTAATTGGCAACGTTATCATGTCGTCCTGTTCATTTAGATATTTCATTTTATTCGAGAATAAAGAGCGAAAAAATGTATATAATACGGGCCTTTCAAAAATCCGAACAATTCTCTCAATATTTAGTATATTGATAATAATTAATAAAAGTTGCGGCCTTTAATTTCTCTGTAAAAATAAAACTCTTTAAAATGAAATCCAGCAAACTGCAGTTAGATGTATCACGTACATTCGTCAAAAGTATAAATAACACCGTAATGAGAAATATCGACTTTTCGTTTAGGAAAAATTGCTTTCGGATTCTCTCCACCGAGAGAGAGCGCACGATATTTGATATACATATATATATCGTTACTGTGACCTGATTAGAGTTGATTAGATATTGAAACTGGTTCAATTACACGCACGAGTACACGTGTAATATTTGCAACGAGGTAGCCGATTATGCAAAAGATGTCTCGGGCACCTCCTTTATATGAATACGTTCTTCCTAAATTATACAGTAAAAATATTGACCCGTGTTCTGCTCACATATTTAACGCCAAACTCTATTTTGTACGTATATAATGCGAAAATGTAACGAGACATAGTTTAAACAAAATACACCATGAAAATTAGATATGCAATTTAGATGTGTATTTGCCGCTAAATATGCAATGAAAACACGGGTAGATTGTACCTACAAGAGTTTAGCACCGGGACATGAAAAAAACCCTAGGGGTCGAGAAAATTACAAATCCTTTTATAATTAATTAAAAAAAATATTTCCTCTTTTTCTTAAAAATAAAAATTTCAATATATCACAAAATATAACTTTACAATTAATTCTATAATAAAATAAAATTCTTTAGAATTTTCACAAGATATTATCGCAGTTAGGAGAAAATTTATTCGAGACAAAGGTCACCAACTTTCGTTTCTCGACCCCTCTGGGAAAAGCTTGAGTCGTGTGAGAGAGACATTTGGTGCGTCGTGTAAAAATCTAAGCGGTAAAATCTCTCCAAGTCTCTCGTCAGCCACGACATACAATCTCCGACTATACTTTTATACGCGTGTCATCGAGTTCTTTCGAGTCCGAATGTGTGTACGTGTGCGTTTTCGCGTGTAATGACTACGTATATGAGGTGAATGACGACGGCTGCTGGTCGGCAGCCGGTCGGCGTTTAACCGGGCACTCAAATCGCATTAAGGCGGTAACGATCGTACCATTTGGTTCGTCAGGGTCAAGCGTCAAGGACCTTCGTCGCCTCTGGCCTCTGGCCGCTAGTGATTATCACTTGCACTTGCTCTTGCCGTCGAGCAGCTTCTTCCAGAGATCGAATTGCTCGCTGTACTTGACCATGTGTATGCTGATGCCGCGCTGGATGTTGCAGGCGGTGTACTGTATCCGCTTGTTCAGGAACTCGTTGGCGTGCGAGCGCTTGATGCCGAGCTTGTGCGCGACGATGCCCGTGGTGAACACGTCCTCCAGCTTCAGGTACGTCTGATTCAGAGCGGCGTCGTACAAACGACGCACCGTGTCGCTAGACAGCAGATACGCTGGTCCGGTGGTGAAGTCCGGAAAGACCGATTGCTGGAACTGCGTCTGCGATACGTAGTACTTGCTCTTGCGATTCCGGATCGGCTTCCACTTCCTAGCGAGTCGGCCGAATATCACGTTATGGTCCTTCGCGTGTTTATTCACGAACGCCAACAACCGCGGCACGTTGATAAACATGTCGTCGTCGGTCTTCAGCAGGTATTTCACCTTGGAACAGTAAGTGTCCACCCACTGCAACGTCGAGATGGTCTTGAGCGTGAGATTCGAGTACGAATCGAGGAAGCGGCCACGTATCACGTCGTTGTACATGTTCTGCTCTTTCCGGAGGATCGCCTCGACCTTAGGATCCAGAGTAGTGCCGAGCATGAAGAGCACGCTCATGTCTCTGCGCTGGCCGAAGTGTCCCCAGGTCTGTCGGATCGCCGTTCGCGCTTCGAGATGCGTCGGCGCGGACATGATGATCACCACCAATTCCATGTCCTTGCCGAGGTTCGGGCAACGCTCGGCGATCGGTACCGTGTGCCCGGCCTCGTATATGGCCCGTGCCAAATCATTACGAATCGCGATCGGCGCTGACTTGGTCGCGTTGGTGACTTTCGCCACCTGAGGCTTCTCGTTCGTACTTTGCTTCGAGCTGATCGACGTGCTCGCGGAAGACGACGCGGAGGATTGCGCGCCGGAGGACGTTGACAGCGTCGTGATGAGGATCCCGGAGTTGTTACTCGCGTTGTGCGCTGCATACGGACTAACGGACACGTTGTCCGAATTCCTGGACACCGCTGCTGCTGCCAGCCGCGCATCCACACTGAGATTTGTATGCACGTGCAGGCCTTCTTGGTACACAGAGAAACCTGGAATTTTTAGCGGTTATTGATTTTTGATTTTTCAAGTTGCATTAAAAATATACAGTGTTAAAATAAGGGTTACATATTTTGAGAGCAGATAGTATTGTTCAGAATAAAAAAAGGTCTAATGAACATAGATCCTACAATTAATATCTTTGAAGATACAGGCTATTTCATCTGTTTGAGCTTATTGTCCTTTTCCTATTGATCATATCATCTTTACATCATGTTATTATAAAATGTTACTATAGTAAAACTTGTAAGTACTCTTTTGTTTACTACAATATAAAGGTGATACAATCAATAAGATAATAAGCTCAAATAAAAAGATAGCTTGCATCTTTGAAGATATTAATCGTAGCACCCATGTTCATTAGACCTTTTTTCTGATCAATACTTCCTGCTCTCAAAATATACAACCCTTTTTTAACACCTTGTATTTAAAGATCCTGATTAATTTTGGGAGTGTTGTAAATATTACAGTTGTCTTTGATAGAAAATAAAAAATGTAATAATAAGAAATGAAAATAAGAATTATTTCTAAACAATCCACGCAAACTTGTACAAATAATAATTGTTTGAAGATACAGAATTTTATCTGGAGCTAATTTCCTTTAGGTCAATTATTCATCAGAAGTTTCTCACAGCAATATTAAGAGATCAATTCTCTCATTGCAAACAAAATACTCACTGGTATTCCGTAACAAGCTGTACTGATGAACATCGTAGACCGTGGTGCGATAATACGCGTAGAAGGTCAGGCCGATGAGCGCGAGGATCAGGGTCTGCAGAAAACGACTCCTGAGATGCAGATAGTGGAACATGACGGACACTTGTTCTGATCACTCTCTTCTTTCTCTCTCTCGACGCGATCTCGTCGACGGGGACGATCATATCATCGCGATGACGTACCGCGCGGAGGGCGACCTGACGGACGTAGTCGCTCCGTCCTGGGCTCCACCGCGATGGATCGGAGCGCTGCGACGTGCCGTCGTCCGACAGGTTATGCCCATACTGTGTGTGCGTGGGGCCCCACCGCACCGTTCCGCCTTGTGTTCGCCCGTTCCCTCACTCCGGGAGATCTCGCGGACAAGAGAGCCTGGTCTCGCGCGCGCGCGTCACTGTCCTGCTTCCGACGACCAGAAGAAGTATACTCAGGTCACAGATTAATAGACAGATCGCCAAAGGTCTGGATGAAGGAGAGACCAGCATTTCTCACTGATTTCAGCGCCATATCGTAGTAGTGGTCAATGCAGTAACTATTAATACGTTCCCAAGATAAGAGCGTCTCATGCTCATGAACTCGTCCGGCGGCATGTACGAGATTTATCTTTTCGTAGCGTTCGCGTATTTCGGAAAGGACAGAATTTTATGATGTTATAAATAAATAAATAAATAAAATATTAACCTGACCTATTATAATTATTTTTTAATAAATGTTTCATTATTATTATCATCTAAGTCTAAGTCGTTTAATTAATTTTTAGTTTTTTAATAATTAATTTAATTTATTCTAATCATTTTAATATGTGAAAAATACTAATACGTATACGTTTTATAATGAATTAATATATTTCGAGAGTCGAATTATATATTTTTAATAATATAAAAGTGTTCAAAATTATATTTGACTTTTAATTTTAATTATTTTAGCAAAGAGTTCCGAAATCTCTTACACACATAATAGGGATTTTGTTCATCCATATAATTCGCAATTAAGTATATATGTTAATTATTAATTTTAATAAAATACAAAATTAAAATTAAAGGTCAAATATAATTTTTGAACATAAATATATTTAATTCGTTATAAAACGTATACCCGTGATAGTATTTTTCTCGTACAAAAATAACTAGAACAAATTAAATTACTCATAAAAAAATTAAAATATGATAATAATAAAACATTTTATAAAAAAAACAGATTCAATAAATATAAGTATATATATAACATGTACTTATATTTATTGAATCTGTTTTTTAATAAAATGTTTTATAAGCTTAGAAAACTTGACTTTGACGTAACTAGCAAATTTTATTTAATTATTTCACGACGGTTTGACGTAATAAAATGTTTTATTATTATTATATAAAATATAAGTTTAAATTCTTTAATTAATTTTTAATCTTTTATGATTAATTTAATTTACTCTAATTATTTTGTACGAGAAAAATACTATCATGGGTATACGTTTTATAATTAATTTAATATATTTGTGTTTAAAAATTATATTTGACCTTTAATTTTAATTTTTATTTTATTAAAATTAATAATTAACATATATACTTAATTGCGAATTATATGGATGAAAAAAATCCCCATTATGTGTGTAAGAGATTTCGGAACTCTTTGCTATAAAATAATTAAAATTAAAAGTCAAATATAATTTTTGAACACTTTTATATTATTAAGAATATATAATTCGGTTCCCGAAATATATTAATTCATTATAAAACGTATACGTGATATTATTTTTCTCATATAAAAATGACTAGAATAAATTAAATTAATTATTAAAAACTAAAAAGTAATTAAACGACTTAGACTTAGATGATAATAATAATGAAACATTTTATTAAAAAAGATTCAATAACTAGTAGGTCAGGTTATAATTTTTATTTATTTATTTATAACATTATGAGCTATTAAGCTCATCATCTCGTTCGCTCTCTGTCTTGCTTTCATTCGGCAAGTCACAAACGATATATGATACTCGTATGTTCCTACTTCAACTCTCGAGAATCTGAAACAAACGAAACTCGTGTCCAATATACAGGGTGTCCGGTAACTAACAGACCAATGATTACAAATGGATTCTTTGGTCAATTTGGGAACGATTTTTCCTCAGCGAAAATGTCGAAAAAGGTCATCATTTTTTACAACTTTCCAATCTTTGTCATTATGTATCTTTATAACTAAGCCTTAAATTAAAATTTTATTATAGTAAACTCTACCTGAAATTAACTGAAGAATGTAATTATGTTAGACTTTTAACTCCAAAACGTTTAGTTTTCAAAAAACCTATTTTTTTCAATCGCTTATAACTCGAAAATTATTGACTTCTCAACATTTTTGCTAAGGAAAAATCGTCTCCAAATTGGCCAGAGAATCCGCCCTTAATCATTGGTCCGTTAGTTACCGGACACCTTGTATATATTATATAAAAGTGTATAGCACGTCAGAAGCTTGTGAGCTTACAGCGATAAGTAAAAACAATTGCGTATTTATTTCATTGCGTTTATCTGTTTAAACGCGCGCTTTAATTTTTCCAACGTTTTTGCCTGTTTATATTTTAAAGGTCCTCTCTTCTAAAAATCTTGTTTTAAAGATCCTCTCCGCGAGCAAAATTCGAAAACATAAATTATTTAATATTTTTACTTTATTATTTGTAAATCCTCGGTAATTTCAAAATTTTTCTATTTGAAAATTATTAATTTTCTATTGCCAATTAATTTTATCACAGACTTTACTCTTACTCCCATTGCACTTTCGTTTGCGGTTTTCAGTATACGATTTTTTATCGTAGTTACTGAAAATTATTATTGTGAATTATACTTGTGCAGTGATTTGAAGAATTTACAATTTCGTTGAAATTGTTGATTTTTCAAAAAAATTACGAGATTCGCGGAAATTGCGTGCTTTCTTGGCATTTTCCGTTCGCGGCAGGCGGTTTATTTTTGATTGTTGCAAGTGTTTTTGTTTTTTTTTTATTAAAATAGATAATAATAATGTGAAATAAATCACGATATTTGACAGATGTGCATATATATAGAAATTGTAATAATAATAATATTATATCATAAAATTGTAAATTGTTTCAATTTTTTATAGACTGCGATAAAAGATTTTACATTTGGATAAGAAACTGCGGTAAGTAAAAATATAAAATTCTTGAAAACGTACCAAAAATATTTGATAACGTAAAAAGGTGAACTTTGAAAAATAAGGAACTTAAAAATTGCACTAATAAATGGGCTATATGTGAGCCGTGCGCGGATGTAAGGTGTGTTATATCGAAATTTAATTAATAGAATTGAGAATTAATCCCAATTTTAAGTCTTACAAATGTCCAAGCTAATTTTTTGTACCTCGTGTACATTTTTGAAAGTTATATCGAAAAATTAAATTTCAATATGCGTCTTACATCTCACATTTCGCATACGGCTCACATATAGCCTATTTATCTCTTATACTTTATTTCAACCCTTATAGAAATTTATTACTAGTAACGCCAATTTATCACTTATTTCGAGTAATTAATCACTTTTATTTCGAATACTTAAATTACTGTATATTATAGTATTTTAAATACTCAAAATAAGTGATTAATTGGCGTAGTGATAAATTTCTACAAGAGAATAAGGAGCCTTTAAATTCTTAATGTAAAAAATTTCAAGTAATTTTCTTTAATAAAATTTAATTAAAAAATTTAATTAAAAAATTTTTGAACACTGTGTTATATCACATTTAAAATCGTGATTATTTCAATAAAAAAACATTTTATGTGTAAAAAATATATTTTTATATTTAATAAATTTTATATATATATGCATATATGTAAAATATTCTCTCTCTCTCTCTCTCTCTCTCTCTCTCTCACACACACACACACACACACACACAACGGGGGCCAAATCTCTCAAATTGGTCTCATGATCAATTAGCCTGGATTCGCACCAGGGGCAAAGTCTGTTGGTAATGTCAAACGAATTTAGCCTGGACTTGCACCAGGGGCAAAGTCTTTTGGTCGAGTCTACGAAATTTAGCACGGACTCGAACCAGGGGCAAAGTCTTTTGGTTCAAGTCTACGAAATTTAGCACGGACTCGAACCAGGGGCAAAGTGTGTCGGTAAGGGGCAAAGTCTATCGCACGAAGATGGCGGTCTCTTCTTTAGGCAGGCCTTTGGCGATCTGTCTATTAATCTGTGGCATTAACTATAGCATTTTTACATCTACACTTACACCACATATACACTTACACCTTATACGTTTTTACACCTTCGTTACTATGTTACAGACCATTTGTTTATTAAACAAATACATCTTTTATTGCCTTCACTTTTTATTGTAATTTCTCATTGATAACACGTATTAATAAAAGCTCTTAAAAAAGTTATCGTTTGTGGACAAATATTACTACATTTTGGTGACCCCGACGTGATCAGTGATCAACACAGGAATATTCTCTTGAGCGGGAAATTCAATTTCTGAATTTTTGAAAAATTTCTATACGTGGTCAAGAATCTTCGGACTTGGATTTCCGGATCGTTTCTTTTCGTCATCGGAATATCAATCGAGATGCCTTTGGATAGATCTCCTCCTAGAACTGAGACAACTAACTCTACTGTTCCGTCTACTTCAACTGCTTTGACATCTTCGAAAGAGAACATTTTAAATCAGGTGGGATCGGAAATTTTTAATTCACCCTCTGGAAATATGCAACAGCAATCTGGTGAGTCCATTCAGATCCATTCTAATGAATTTCGTCTGGTAAAACTTCCCACATTCTGGCACAAGCAACCTAAATTGTGGTTTGCTCAAGTCGAAAGCGAATTTTTGGTATTTCGTATACGTTCCGAAGAAATAAAATATAGTACTGTTATCCGTCATCTCGATGAAAAGGCATTAATTGTCGTTTCGGAAATTGTTGAAAATCCACCCGAAAATGATAAATATAACGCTTTAAAATCGGCGCTCATTAATCGCTTCACGGATTCAGAAGAAAAACGCTTACGTCAATTATTAGCCGGAATTGAATTGAATGATAAAAAACCAACGGAGCTTTTACGAGAGATACGCCAATTATCCGGTGGATCTTTAGCGGATAATATTTTACATTCACTTTGGCTTCAACGTTTGCCATACAAAGTTCAAGCGACTTTAGCTGTTGTTGAGGACGTACCCTTAATCAAGCTAGCTGAACTCGCTGATAAAATAGTCGAACGTGATACCGGGTATCAAATAACCGAAGTAAATACTTCTTTAAAATCAAAGCAATCGGATCTTGCCGATTTAGAAAAAAGAATTGCTGCGCTGGAAGTTTTTCGTCGTCGCGGTAGATCTTTTAGTCGATCTCGAAGTAAAACAAGATTAAGATCTAATTCAAAAGATAAAAAGTCGGATTCTAAGGAACAAATTTGTTTTTATCACAAGAAATTTGGAGATAAAGCAAAGAAATGTACAATTCCTTGTACTA